AAAAACTCCCTGGTAAGCTGATAATTTTATGGTAATTTTGAGTTTACACGTTTTTTTAAATCTTCAAAAGTGGCCTAAAACCCTCATTACAACGAAAAAAGTTATTTTTTAACTGTTTTCTTACCTGCATAAGGAGCCTACCCAGTGGGCACGGGACCTAAAAAAGACGTCTTTTGAACGTTAAAAAGACGCCCAAAACGTTCAAAAGACGTCCAAAACGTTCATAAGACGTTTAAAAGGCGTCTTTTTTACGTCCGTGTCCACTGGGTAGCCTAATTTTTTTATGAAAAAAGTCATTAAAAATTTGACAACCCTGCGCGACCTATTTTTTTTAACGTTTGTTAATGTTTGAATCACATTTGATTCAAACATTAGTTTTTCATAAATATTTTGTGGCTTATCTTTTGGTTTTAAAACTTTTTTTATACATGACACTACAGACGATGCAGTGCGAATGTATGAATGTTCAATTTTACTGTTTCCGTGTTTCAAATCTGTTACACCACATTTTTCATTGCCTAAATAATAGATAATAGCAATAAGACCTTTGGTAGTTTTTTTATGAACACTTGTTTACTAAAATTCGCGGATGTACAATGTTTTTGGCCTGTAGTAGTTTGGGTAAGATAATAAGATTTTTTAAAACCTTTTTTGCTATTCTTAAAACTTATTATTTTTCCATCTATAATGATTGCATTTATAATCGTCTTCATTTTCAGACTTCATTTTAAAAACAAATATTCTACCAGGAATAGATAGAATGGGTGCAAACGGAATAAGTTTTACATCGTTGTTTTCAATGTAAACATTTTGACAGCATCATCTGCCGACAGCATCATCTGCCAACATAAAGTCATTTTTATTTTTAATAACATATTCCTCAGTTTTTTGCCTTAACTAATCAATTCTTTAGATGTCGTTGCCTTCATTCTTAAATAAAAAAATACTGATACTACAGATTTTGAAAACCGACTGGCTACCACCAATAACGTGTTATAAGGAAAATAATAAAATAGTTGTTCGATTATTATAGGTTAAAATAACCTATAGGTTATTATTAACCTATAAAACTATAAATATTGACGAACAACTTCTTGCCTATTTTTGTAATAAACTTTAGTTTATTCTAATGACACTAATGAATATCAATATTTAATGACTGTGTTATTTACATCAGTTGTGGTTGTGCTCTCTTTTGCTTTATTAAATTTTTGAATGAACTTTCAAAAACCAGAAAAGTTTATAAAAAATAACTTCAAACGTACTTTATGGAAACCCATAACTTCGTAAGTACTTTATGGCAACCCAAAAGGAAAAGTTTTTTAAAAGTTTTTTCAAATATTAAAATAGTGCTTTTTTTTGAATATGTTTATTATAGCATTAATAAATTATTCTAATATTTTTATGAGTTTTCAAAAGCTCTTATAAAATATTTTATAAAATGAAACTTAAAAATTAAAAAAACCTTCAATAAGAGTATGATACTTACTGTTCTGCTCGACTTATCTTCCTGCTGTTTTTAACTAAGCGTACCGAAATAAAATAAAAAGTATAAAAGAGAATGATCATTACAAATAATGGTAATCGTCGGGTTATCAATAATGTAAATAAAAATAATATTTGTGGTCAGTGTAAAAATTATTATTCGTTATTTGGTTTTTTGCACGAGTTGAATATCATCTTCAAACTAATTTTTGAATTTTTAGCATTTGGTTGGTTGTCATTGGATACCATTTGCTTTAACAATAGCAAAATCAAAATGTGAAGATTAATGTTGACGTAGTTGACATAAAAGTTGTAAAAATTTAATTAAGTATCCACTCAGAGGTTATTTCAGTGGTTATCGGCATGGCCGTAGAGAGAGAGGATTAAGCGGGTATGTTGTCCTGGGGCCCGGTTTTCTTTAAGAGTCCGCAGCAGGACTCTTAAAGAAAGCCGGGCTACTTTTTTTTTTCTCCCATAAAATGGGAGAAAAAAAAAAGTAGCTAATTTGGCATTACATGGTGCTTATTTTCAGCCAAGATAGAGCCCATAAAGAAATTTGGCCCGGGACCCATCTTGGCTCACTATCAGTTATCAGTGACTTTTATTTTTACAATAATAATTCTGACTTTTTTGCACTTATGCCAGTTTTTGCAATTGATTCGCACATATGCCAGTTCGCACTTATGCCAATGTTTGCAAATTCTTTCGGCGCACTTATGCCAGTTCGCGCTTGTGCCAGTTCGCACTTATGCCAGTTTTAGCAATTGATTCGCACTTATGCCAGTTTGCACTTATGCCAGTTCGCACATATGCCAATGTTTGCAAATTCTTTCGGCGCACTTATGCCAGTTCGCGCTTGTGCCAGTTCGCACTTATGCCAGTTTTTGCAATTGATTCGCACATATGCCAGTTCGCACTTATGCCAGTTCGCACTTATGCCAATGTTTGCAAATTCTTTCGGCGCACTTATGCCAGTTCGCGCTTGTGCCAGTTCGCACTTATGCCAGTTTTTGCAACTGCTTCGCACTTATGCAGATTCGCAGTTATGAAATTCGCACTTATTCAGCCTCCCCCGTATTAGATGAAGATGGGAAATTTTTGCAACTCATGCATCTGACGAATAAACCTAATCTGGAAACTATTTTTGCAAGAAAAATCTTTTAAAAATAGTTTCAATTAGATAAGTTAAGTATGGAAAGCAACTTAAAAACTTATTTGGAGGAGCGGGGTTTCGAACCCCGGGCCTCTCGCATGCAAAGCGAGCGCTCTACCACTGAGCTACACCCCCTTGTAATATAAGTTTTTAAAATTTTTTTAAATTACTATATTAAAAATGAGATTTTTATTGCAAAAGACTACCCCAAAATTAGTAAAAGCTAAAGCCATTACATCTAATCAATGTTTGACACTATGCGAATTAAAAAATAGCAAACATAATTATGCATTAGACACGAGCGATTTTCAACTTTTTTTAGAAAAATCGATTCCCAGTGGGCACGGAAGTAAAAAAGGACGTCTTTTAAACGTCTTATACACGTTTAAGACGTTTTCTGAACGTCTTTTGAACGTTTTGGACGTATTTTAAACGTTTAAAAGACGTCTTTTTTACTTCCGTGCCCACTGGGTTGCTTCAAGTGGCAGTACCTTTATTAGACTATAAAACTATAATGTGGAAAATTTAAAAGTTGCAAGTTTTCTAGATTTTATCTTAATTTATTTTTTTTTACATATAATTCTTTATGAAACATAAACTAGAATGAATTATAACTAACAAATTCTTAAAAAGAATGTCGATTTAAAACATTTTCCCTTGTTTTTTTATATATAATGAAACGTAAGTAATTTATTTTTAAATTTTTAAAATTTTTTAAACATTTTTGTCCTGCAAAAATGGGTAGTTTTACATAAAAGCCATATAATTAGATAAACTTATGCAAATAAAAAGTTTTAAAAAAACATTATTGCAATATATTTGGGGTTAGATAGACAGCTACCAAAAAAAAAAAATTATATTTTTTTGTGTTTAATTTTAAAAAAAAAAAAAACATTTAAATTTTTAGCTTGAAAACTTTAACTTAATCCAGGAAAAAATAAATAAACCGCTCGAAAGATTTAGTATGTTTACATTTACGTATTTTGTATGACGTATTTCATTATAATTCTACAAAAAATGGCGTTTTAAGTTGATTTTTCAAACTTATTTTTAAAATAAGATAGCTAGAAGTTAATTTAATATTTTTTTATTTTGTAATTAACTCTTATTTTTTTATAAACTATCTACTCCAAAAATTACTGGTACCTATTATGCATGCCTGTAAATTGTCATTAAAAAATTCAAGTTATTCTTTATCAAATGCGTTTTTAAAAGCTGTTATTTAGTGTTTAATACATATATACATAAATCAAGGGCGGATCTGAACCCCGTTAAGTGTTCTAACTGACGGGGTAAGGTAAGATAGCAAGCTATATATTTAGCTTGAATTTTTATCTTCTCTATTTGTAAGGAAATATTGTAAGCGCAATATAGTTATATCTTAATATACAGTAAGCGAATAAATATCTTATTAGTAAATTGGTCTAGGATAATTCCATAAAAACCAAAAAAAAACAAAAAAAACGGTATGTCTTATCAAAACAACTTCGGGAGGTTGTCTTACTAAAACAGTTTTTTACGCCTCCTACGTGACTACGTAGAAGTTTATTACTTTTTTTTTTTTAATTATTATTTTATGATTATTATTTTTTTTTTCATTATATTTAGTTTTCAAAAAATCGATGGAAACAGGTACCCTATCAGATATGTGGAAGAAGGCAAATGTAATGCCACTTTTTAAAAAAGGAAGCAAATTAAAAGCATCTAACTACAGACCAGTCTCGTTAACTTTAATACCATGTAAAGTGTTATAAAGAATAATAGCTGATTGTATCTTGCAAAATCAAACAATGAACTCTGTTTGCTCATCAGGTCCTGCAGCTAACATTAGAGGAGCAAAACATTGAATAAAACCTGAATTGGTCAGAAATTGTTTGAAAAGACAATATTTTTTCAGTAATGGCCCAGTCTTATTTTTGATGTCTCTAAGACGTCTTTTTTTAATCGATATTGCAAATCTAAAAGACATCTTTTTTCGACTTCGAAAAGTCGTTTTTTTTATCCTTAATCTGGTCATAAAAAGACATAAAAATGCGTCTTTAAGACGCCTTTTTTTAGTCGAATATGCAAATCTAAAAAAGTGTTTTTTTTCGGGGTCGGAACGACTTTTTTGCCATACTTTTTAGTATACTATAGTACCCTATACACTATAATATTCCTACTTTTTTTATATGAAAAGCTATTTTTTTCAAATGAAAATGATAATAGCTCTTCATACAAAGTATGACAAAAAGCTTTTTCCGATGCCAGGAAAAAAACCTCTTTTAGATGTCAATATAAAAGAGGAAGCATTTTCTACATCTTTTATATATTTAAATATAGGAGAATAATTTATAAATAAAACAATAGTATTGTTCAACAGAATATTTTTTCATCTTTCTCTTTCTTTTCTGTTTCTTGAGCGAGCTCTGTTTCTTGGCGTTGCTGACTAAAATTAACAATTTCACGTCGAGAAATCCTTTCATACGAGCAGGTTACGACTTATAGCTGGTTACCACTTCTAAAAAACGAGTGAACATAAAAAACAGTCTATTGCTTAAATGTAATACAAAAAAAGCAAACGAAACTTGATTAGCTGAGTGAGCACATTATACTTACCGACTATTAATTCAAAAAAGGCTGATCCTTTTAATCCAATCATGTTTCCAGCGAGGTCCCTTCTTTTTGAACCCACTAGATTAGATTGGGACAGGAGTTAAACGGTAAACAGTCTAAAAATATATAAAAATGAGTGTGCTAAATAAATTTACAACCATCAAAATGACTGTACAACAATGTATTTTATTATGTAGTACTTAAATCAAGCTAAACATTTGCACCTCTCAGATTTGCTATGAAAACCAAGTTATTGAAAACACATATTGATATTCTTCTGTCTTCTATAACATGATTTTTTAATTGTATTTCGCTGAAATTAAGTGTTGTAGACTCATAACAATTTAAACAACGTTTTTCAAGCACAAACATTATAAAATCAGTCTAAAAATAAATGGTAAAACTTTTTTAAAACACTTATCTGCGACTAACTTAATTGAGACTAGATCATATCGATACCATCTTACTGGCACCACGCCATCCTTAGCTAAGCAGCTGCAATTGTATATTTATTTCAATATATATATATATATATATATATATATATATATATATATATATATATATATATATATATATATATATATATATATATATATATATATATATATATATATATATATGTATATATATATATATATATATATATACTATATTATATATATGCATATAAAAACGGGCCAATCAGAACGTAACAAAGATATCGTAATTACGATACTGTGGGTTAAAACATATTTTTTTTAGGTTCTATTGGCAATAATTATTTTTAATTTTCTTAAGCAAATAATGATTTCCTTATTAACAACCGATTGACGTCTTTTCGACCTCTTTTTTGAAGACGTCTTTTTAAAAGACGTCTTTCCACGTCTTTATTTTGGCTGATCATAAAAAGACACAACAAGTCATAAAAAAGACGCCTTTTATTTGTCTAAAGATGTCTTTTTTCCCACTGGGTATTAACGTTTTTATTATTGTGACTGAACTAACTTGTTCATTAATTAATTTATACCGACTGTCATAGATATTGCCTAGCGCTTTATCTCAACAGCATTAATTATTATTATATAATTATTATTACTTTTTTTATTACATTACTACATTTATTACAAATTTAGAACTGATTTTAATTCCACGCGTGGAATTAAAATCAGTTCTAAATTTGATGTGAATGAAAAAAATATAAAACGTGTTTAAAATACTACTGTTAAAACTTGTTTTATTGTCGGCATATGTTACATCGACAAATGTAAACACCAGATTTAAGTTGCCAAGGTGCGTAATTTTTTTTGAATGTTAGGGGGTTTGTAAAAAGATTTTGAAGTTCAAAAATGATAAAAGATTAATGTTTTTACCAGTAAAAATTAGTCTACAAACGTTTTAAAAAATACTACTCCCGCATTTATACCAATTTTTTTTAAATATTCTCATGAAATATGGAAGATCAACATAAAATAATTTAAAAGTAAAAATACTTACGTAAGATTACTGCTTGTTTAATCGTTTATTTTTAAAAATCAAATGGTTTAAAGTAAAATTTTGATTGATCCGGAAAATTTTTTTCCTGTTTTGGCCACCTTGAATCGTTTTGCTTACGAAATTAAGATCTGTATAGAAAAGTTCTTAAAATGTTTTGGCTGCTTTTGTAATTAAAAAGTCAGGCCAAAATTAATGAATTTAAATCTTCCGCGAAGTTTTGAAATGTTTTTGAATTTAAATCTTCCCTTTCAATTCGCGAAGTTTTGAAATGTTTTTTTCTGGTTTCAACCGTAAAACAAATAGTTAAATATTCTAGATAGTTTGCCTTTGTTAAAAACATTTATTATGGCAAATAAATTTTTTTTCAATACTTTCTAAAAAATGTGTACTTAAGTTTGCAGTAGCATAAGCATAAGTTACACTTTCTGAAAAATGTGTACTTAAGTTTGCAGTAGCAGAAGCATAAGTTACACTTTCTGAAAAATGTGTACTTAAGTTTGCAGTAGTTTAAGCATAAGTTACAATTTCAACCATAATTATTTGGAAAACTATGTTTTCCAATATATGCATTTAATGCTTAATCTGTGTCAATTTTACTTATAAACTTTCTTTATGTTAATTTTTTAATGTGAAAAATGCAATTTGAACATGTAAAATTTTGATCCTCTAAAAAACAAATAGTTAAATATTCTAGTGGATAAAGTTTTTTTAAGAACTTGAATTATCAAAGACTTTCGCTTTTAGTGGTAGAGAAGTTTGAGATAAATTTAAATATACAAAAATCAAGTAAACTTTTCAAAATTTATTTTAAGATTTTATGAAAGATTAATTTTTTAAAAAATTTTTGAAAATCTTTTTTTAAAATTTATTTTATATATATTATAAAAAACAAAAAACAATTTCATTCTCACTAAACCATCCAACTCGAGCTTTTCAACTATTTGGTAAAAAAGCTCGAAATTCAAATAAATATCGAATAAAAAAATATTCGAATATTTAACTACTAGAATAGTTTATCAAAATTAATATAACTAACAAAAATGAAGAGCAATAATAATTTAATATTTCAATAAAAAAAAGTTTAACAATTAGTTTTAAAAGGTCCTATTATCCTATTATATATATATATATATATATATATATATATATATATATATATATATATATATATATATATATATATATATATATATATATATATATATATATATATATTTATAAATATATCCTATATATCCTATTTTAAATATTTTTCTTCTAAAAAAGATTACATCGCCCTCCCCCCTTCCTTTAAATAAAATTAAAATAGAAAAGCATATTTGCCCCTGCCTTTTTTTTCAATTTATAAAAAAAATTTAACATTGTTGACGTCAATTTTTCTTGATCTTCCCCCTCCCTTTTGTCAACAATTGTTGAAAATATCTAGACCCCCTTCCCCCTGTTTTGTTGATATAAGCATATATACACTTACAGATGAATAGATGTACATGTATATAAATTAACATAAGCTAGAATCTATAAGAAGATTACAAGATCTTGTCTTCAGAACCTTATAAAATACAAGCAAGCAAAATAAAGACAAGTATAACATACAAAAAATAAAGTAAAATTAAAAAATAAAAAGTAATAAAACCCAAGTCAAATAACAATTTTCAAAATATCAGAAGTATCTAAGTATATTATAATGTGAAAAAATACTTTTTTTTAAGATAGAGCTTGAAAAGATAAAAAGAAGTTGGTTGATCGAGATTTCGCAGAACATTATTATTCCATAGGTGGGGTCCACGATAAGCAATGCAAAATTGATTAAATTTTGTGTGACTAAACGGCTCATTTAAAAAATTTATATTTTTCATATCGTATTTGTTGTTAGGTTTAAGTTGGAAAATATTATTAAAAGCGGTAGAGGATAAATTATTTCTCCATAAATATACAAAACGTAAAACTTTAAATACATTGAGCTCAAATAAATTTAGTAATCTCATTTTAGTAAAAATAGGTTTTGTATGTGTAAAACAATCAGCATAGCTAATTATGCGGATCGCACATTTTTGACGACGATAAAGAAGTTTTAATTTACTTTTAACAGTACTTCCCCAAGCAGTGTTTGCATAGTTTATGTAACTGTGGATGAAAGAGTAATACAGTAGGCTTAAGCAATTTTTATTAAGGTAGTTACGAGCTTAATATAGAATCCCAATGTTTTTTGAAATTTTAGTAGTAACATAATTAATATGTTGATTCCAGGAGATGTTTTCATCGAGATAAACGCCTAAGAATTTTGTAACGGAATCATTTTTTATTTCAATTTCGTCTATATATAGTTGTGGCAAGTTTGTTGGTAATAATCGATTTTTTGCATACGAATGGAATAGAGTCTATTTGGTTTTATTAATATTTAAGTTAGCTTATTACATTTAAACCAGTTTAATATATGTTTTAGTTCTTTATTCATAGTGGTAAAGAGTTTATATATATATTACTGCTTGAGAGAAATAGGTTGGTATCATCTGCGTACATGATACTAATAAGATTGGAAGCTTTATTCAAATCATTTATATATATCAGGAAAAGTAGGGGTCCGAGGATTGAACCTTGAGGAATACCGCATACGATATCAAGATAATTATTTCGATAACCATCGTTAGTAATTACAAATTGTTTTCTTTTTGTTAAGTAGCTTCTAAACCATTTTAAAGCAGTACCTTTAATTCCATAATATTTAAGTTTTCGCAGTAAAATATAGTGATCTACAGTGTCGAAAGCTTTTGATAGGTCAATGAAGATACCTAAAAAGTACTGTGATTTTTCAGATTTCATGCACAAATCGGATTATTGCATGCTCCGTTGAGTTACCTTTTCTAAAGCCGAATTGTTTGTTATATAGTAAGTCATTTTTGTTGAGATGTTTGTATATTCTATTAGACATTATTCTTTCTAAAATTTTTGAAAATACCGGAAGAACAGAGATGGGACGATAGTTGCTTATATTCGATCTGTCACCCTCTTTAAATATAGGAGTAATTTTAGCAACTTTTAATTGTTCTGGAAATATTCCTTGGTTAATAGAAGCTTTAAAAAGAAGATTTAAAAAGAACATGTTTTAATATATCGAAACAGTCTATAATTACATTTTCATTAATTTCATCTGCTCCTGTTGCTTTGTTTCTTTTCAAGGAATTCAAAGCTACTTTAAATTCCTCAAAAGATATTTCTGAGGTTAACTCATCGGAACAAATGCAATTATCCATAGGTACGAGAAAATCATTAACAGAAGCCGTCCTATTTGGAATCTTATTTGATAGAGAAGGACCTGTCCCAATAAAAAATTTATTAAATGCATGAGATATGGCTCTTGGATCGTATAAACTAATGTTATCAACTTTAATCATCTGCGACAAATAACCTAACCATGATTTTTGTTTTCCAGTAATTTCTTTCATAATTTGCCACGTGCGTTTTAAGTCGTTTTTAAATTTATTAATTAGTTCTGAGTAGTAATTTCTTTTTAGGCTTTTACGTATTTTTTCAAACAGATATTTGTAGTTTTTATATTTTTTGCTAACAGGCGTTTTTGTTTTTAGATATTTAATATATAACTTTAGTTTAATTTTTGACGATTTTTTTAAATTTCTTTGTAATCCAGGGACTTTTTGAGCTTTTATTTGTTTTAATTGTTTTTTCAACAATTGGAAAATTAGCGTCGTAAACAGAAAACAATGTTTTATAAAATGTTTCGTAGATGTTATTAGTATTGTCATTAAAATCAATATGATTCCAATGAAGTAAAGATAGCTGATCTTTAAATTGTTCAAGATTTTTTTGTTTGAAAATACGTTTTTTTACAACTATTGCGGTGTTAATATTTTTTTTTTAAATTTGAGTTTAAAATTAGGAATATAGGAAAATGATTGGATATATCAGTTTTTATGATACCTTTTTGAATACCTTTATTAAAAATGTCTGTTGTAATAATATTATCTATTAGGGTAGCCGAGTTTATTGTTACCCTAGTGGGGCGATTAATTAAGGGTATAGATCCTGTTTCAAAAATTGTGTCATAAAAATTTTTAACTTTATGGCCATCGTTATAAAGAAAACAATTCATATTTAAGTCCCCAATTACAAAACTTTTTTTTTTTTCTGCGTCACTTGTTTCCACAATATGCTGTAAAAACATGCTTAGGTTTTCGCTCGCGCCGTCAGGTAGTCGATAACAGCTTAGAATGTTTTTTGTTTTTTCAAGTAAAAATGTTTAATTGTTAAATATGGTCCTACTGCATATCCTATATGTTTTAAAGGGTCTTTTTTTTAGACTCTTATACTAGGTTATAGTAATTCTATTGGTTCTATAGCAATCCTATAGATTTATTCAAAAAGATATTTTTAAAATTGTTATAGGATTCAATAAGAATTTTATAGTACCTGTAGGATACATATAGAAATCTAAAAGTAATTATATTTGTTCTATAAGACTTTTTACCTAGGGCGCGAAAATAATATTTTTATTTTTGATAGTTTAGGGAAGGATTTTTTAACACACTTGTTATTTGAAACCGCGGCTATCTAAAACACAGGCCTATTAATCGTGCAAACCGTAAAAATAACTGGAGGCCGAATAACTCAGAAAAATTTTCCGAAGGTTAATATAGTTGCTTCAAAAAAGAAGAAAAAATATTTCTTGAGACTTATTATGCCTTTAAAGTGCTGCGAATTGCTCTTCTAATTAATTAACAGATTAAAAAAAAAAGGTGCTGTTTACACATTACCAAAAGATGCAGAAGAACGTAGAAAGTGGGTATCAGCTATTCCTAGAACTAACATTCCTAATAGTAAATACACTGTTGTGTGTTCTGAACATTGGCCTATAAATTAAAAAAAAAATGTTTATGGCTATGAGACGTATCATTATGGATGCGTATACTATGTAACAAGTTTTTTCTAAATACCATGTAACTATTTTAGACTAATGGTCGAATTTAGCTAAAGCTATAAGATATTTGATTAATATTGAGTTATAGAAAAAAAACAACAAGTTATTATAGAAAGTTTATCTTCTATGAAAATTTTAAGTATTGGCAATATATTATTTCTTCAAACACTATTTTTCGAGCTTTTGAATATTTTTCTGTTTCAAGAGCACTTAATAAGCGAATTCGAAATGATTATCAGCTACCCAGTGTGTATCAGCTACCCAGTGTTTCTACTCTGCAAAAATTGATATCAAAAGCTTCAAAATCAAACAATGATGAATTTATTCTGCATAATTTTTGCAAACTTACTAACCAACAACGACGGTGCATTTTAATAGGTGATGAAGTATATGTTAAAGCTTCATTAACTTATCACGGTGGAGAACTTTTTGGGAAATCTGTTAATCAACTAGACAAATTAGCAAAAACAATATTAGCTGTTATGACTAAATGTCTTTTTGGTGGACCCACTTTTATAGTATGCATGATTCCAGTATGTTGTCTTCAGATTTTCAGTATGAAGTAGTTGATTCTATACTTGGATAAATTTCCAATGCAAATGTTGTTGTGTTGCGATTGTGTGACAATAGTAAAGTCAATGTAAAGTTTTTTTCTCTCTTTGAAACTTTTTAAGAGAAACCATGGCTGACTAAAAATTTTTTTACTTTACGATTATGTTCATATAATTACTGTAAAATTTCAAGAAACTCGGTTTAAGGACAATGATGATAATTCAATTGCTAGGTGGGATGATCTTAAGAACCTTTACTACTTAGAAAGTAAGACACTTGTGACTCATTCACATTTAAATATAGCTTCAATCTTTCCACAAAACCTGTTGAGCGACAAAATGTTTCTTTGTGTTTGAGAGTATTTTTGTGATGAAATACTCTCTGTTATTATTTTTTTTTTTTGCAATTTTATCAAATTGCAAAAACAAAAAAAACACAGTCTTCATCAGAAAACCAGCCTCTCAAATGGGGAAGAGGTTTTGTTTCCAAAACTTTCTAATACTGGTGTTGATTCATTGTGCCTTCAACAATATATAAACGCCCTATGCCTTTGGCTGAGATGATGCTTCACACCATAACTGTAGTAGGATGCTTCACAGTCTGAGCAACACAAGTCTCAGAAAACTCTTTGTTTGAAGATCTCCTCACATATTGACTGCTTTCATCGCATATTGAAAACATGGATTCATCAGAGAAGTGGATCTGTAATCAGATAATATAACAGACTGCAATAACACAGCTGAGTATTGACCTGAATTGGCAGATGAGTAATAAAAAGATCTTGAAAATTGACGGTAAGTGTGAAACAAAAAGGAACATGGGTTGGTTGGTGTTAGGGTAGAAATTTTTGTTTAAAGAAGCATGTGTAAGAAAAACTATTGAAATGTTTAAATTACTCACCTTACTCCAATCACTCCCAAAGCGAGATTTAACCTCTAGGGCCCAGTTAACCCTTTTTTTAGTGATTGCCATTGTTATTTTGGCTTTCTTTCTTGGCTGACGTGCTGGAAGACATTAATAAGCCTTCTTCTAATCGTAGAACTGCAAATATCAACACCATACTTCTCGAAGGAATTTTTCAAGTCACTAGTGGTTCTTCTATTTACTTTAGCCATTTGGATAAGTTTGGTTCTCAGGCTCACTTTGGACTTGCGTCCACAATTTCCTTGTCGTGCAGAAATGTTATTTTACCCATTCTTAATAGCCTGGCTAATACGGCTTACTGATTTTTGTAAAAAATTGTAGTCTTGAAGCTATTTCTCGATGTGATTACGTTTTTTCTTCATGCAATGCTTTAGTAACAACAACTTTCCTAGGTGAAAGATCTTTGGTTCTTTCCATAACCTCAAAATCTGCAGAAAAAAACAAAACAATTTGTAATCAGACATATTATACATTTTAAAATGGAAGTTATTATACATTTTAAAATTGGTTACCAAGTTACTAAAGGCATGCATACAAAGTATTAATTTAACTTTAAATTGTTCAATAAATTCCTATTAGAACATAAAAACTATTTTTATTAAAAAAAAAACCTAGTTGAGTCTAATAATTTCACACCTCTGTGTGTGTGTGTGTGTGTCATATATATATATATATATATATATATATATATATATATATATATATATATATATATATATATATATATATATATATATATATATATATATATATAAAACGAAAGTTACCCTTTAAAAAAAAAGGACACATTGTAGAATGAATGCATTTTGCTAATACACATGAGGATTGATCTGCTTCAAAATGGTGGAACACTTTGTGGTCTGATGAAAACAAAGAAAACCTAACTGTTTTTAAGAAGACCTAACTCTTCCTACAAACTGCAATACACTATAAAAACTGTTAAACACGGTGGATAAAATTCAAACATTAGGGGTCGTATTTCTATTGGAAGTTAAATATTAATTTTTAAATATTATTTTAGTAATTTAGTGAAACTAATTATCTTTAAAATTATTTGCATAAAATTAACTACTATTATCATGCATAAAAAAACTACTATTATTATGTCCATCCTTTTTTACTTTTATACAATTATACTAATTACACAACTATTGTAAATACAATAACAAAAATAAAAATAATTGTTAGTATATTATCTTTTTATTTTAGTAAACATCTATTTGTTTCATTATTCAATATATTTAGATTAACAGTAATTGACAAAAAAATGTGACTATTCAATTATCTGTTATTTTGTTTACTACTGTATGTAATAAGCAGTGTGTCTACTACTGTATGTAATAAGCAGTGTGTCTACAACTGTATCTAATAAGCAGTGTGTCTACAACTGTATGTAATAAGCAGTGTCTACAACTGTATGTAATAAGCAGTGTGTCTACAACTGTATGTAATATGCGGTAGTGGTGTAGTAGTAAAGCACTCACTTCGTAAGCAAGAAGTTCAGAGTTAAATCCCCACCATGCTAAACTTGTTTCTATGTGCAGCAGTCTTGTTTAAAGTGAACACGTGGAAAAATTACTTAAACAAAAGCTCTGTAACAATGTAGTAATAAATTTTGTGACAATTAGATGTATAATTACTGATTTATTTATTCCCAGCAGAAAAAAAAAAGAAAAGAAAAAGACAGCAACTTTTCATAACTTTAAAATCACATTCTAAAAAAATTATGTGCTACTGCATATAAAATTATTTATATCATTTTTAATATTACAGTTAAAAAAAAGATTTTGTTTCAAAAATAAACAAATTGTAAATTGATATATATTTTTAGAACCGAAATGTTTTTCTTAACAGAAAATAAGATCTTCTTACCTTCTAACCACTGACAAACCAAATAATTCACCACAACAACAACCAATCAATGAACAACTAAAAAATTCACCACAACAACAACCAATCAATGAACAACTAAAAAATTCACCACAACAACAACCAATCAATCAACAACTAATTCTACAATCAAAAATAAACTAATATATATTTTTAAAAAATATTTTTTTTAAATCACAAGAAACAAATATATTCTACTCAGAATAAAATATATCATTATACAATAAAATGTTCAAAGTAATACTACTATGTTCATTATTAATTAAAAATTTTATTAAAACAATCTCCTATAACATTTTTCAACACTGAGTTAAAAAAAAATCAGTTTCTAAAATGAAAAAATACCCATCATATTGTTTATATAAGCATTTAATTATATCATTGCTATTTTTATTTTAACATTAAAAAAGTTAAGCTAGAGTAATTTTTACTGGCATTTTTTGTATCTCAATGTAAAAAACTTCGTTGTTTGCAACTTTTTGAAAACTTCACAGCAATTGTAACTTTTACGATTATTTGGACTATTTATTTGGTAACTTTGATCTGAGATTTTGAACCAACATTTTTGTAATAAAGACAAAAGGTGGTACCACCTTATTAGAACAAAATTCATTTTTGAATTATTCAAAATAATATCTTTATTTGCTAATTAAATTTCCATTAAGTTCTAAGTAATCAAAAATCGATTAAATGCTTTATATTTTTATAGAATGGTTGCAATCATTGATATTGAGTTATAAGATTAAAAAAAATAATATTAACGGATAAAAAAGATCTCATGCTAAAAATATAACCAAAAAAATAAAGAATAAAAAACATCTTATGTCAAAGATATAGTAAAAAAATATATGTAACATTCGATCTATTATCATTTTTTTCAACACCATAAATACAAAAGTTAGGTAAATATGCAATTTTTTTTAAGCAACTGCTTTATAACTGTTAATGGAGGATTAAACTAAAACTTACAAAAACATAAAAATTGAATGTAAATTTCAAAAATTTAAGAGTAACATTCAAAAAACTCTCTGCACATTTTAAAATGTTATTAAAAATTAGAATATTTAAATAATTCATAAAATTTAATTCTTATCTGTTGTATATTTTAAACTTACTTTTGATGACTAAATTTTTTCTCAGGATATCAGAGAATAATTTTTTTTTTGAAGTCCTAATGGTCTTATCACAAAGTTCACGCCTCCTTGCTTACCAATGTTGCATATATATCTAAAGACAGAACTCTAATCACTACACCACAGTTGCTAGTAATTTAATTAATCGCCATTTCATTATTAACAAGATAAGAAAGTGTATATGGGAAGATAATTGATAAGCTGCTGACAGAATTTTTGACTTTTATTTAAAAAATCTCTAATGAATTATCAATTATTGAATAAGCTGCTGATACCATATAACTCAGAGAAATCAGTTTGAAAGAAAGTAGAGGCTGCCACTGATAATATAAGTTTGTGAATAAATCAACGCAAAGTAAGATATGTACTATAAGTAGCTGGAATAAAATATTTGATTTATTGCATTAAATATGCTAAATTTAAAAATTCAGAAAACAAACTTTTTTCTGAACTTCAGAAGTTTTCTGATGGGTGCAAAGGCCAATGTAGTACTTTAACAGAACCTATCAGAACCCATCTGCGAAACCTGCTTCCTAAAAAAAAAAAGTTAAAACAAATGATTTTCAATCATTTGATGATACATATAAATCCAGTAGTAAAAGTTCAGAAGACAGTAGTATGAGTGATGATCACACCATTCCTCTGAAGTGTGCAAGGGAGACCAGTAAGATGTTAGCTAAAATCAGGGTTGAAAAAAAAACTGTTTTTTTAAAAAAAAAAAAACAAAAAAAAAAAACAACCAAAAACCATAACTTATTTGGTTTAAATATTCCTTAGTCATAGCAAAATAGCTTTTGGTGTTTAACATTTGCTTTACTAATACTTGTTTGGAATGAAGTTGTTATCAGTTGCTCAGTTGGAATGAAGTGTTATCAGTTTTTTTAAATTGAGATATAACAAATTGTGGATCTGTTACAACATTTGCTGATTTAGTTTGAGTATAAAAGGTTTTAAACAATTGACATAGTGTTGAACAATGATATAAATGATATTAATATAAATACTAAATACACTTGCTGTTTAAAAAATACATAGAAGAACAAACCTAGCATAAATTATTGTTCTTGTTACAAATCTAGCATATATTATTGTTCTTGCATATTCAGATTCCCCAACTCAATTAGCAATAGCTGACTTGTGTCCAACATGTCAGAAACAAAACCACAACTTATCCCCTATAACAACATCCATAGATTAATTCTAAATAAGGATAATTATCTAAGTATTATCTAAGATAATTTTGTGGATGTTGACAGTTGCATTATTTCTTTTAATAATTATATAACTTTATTATTACACATTGTTTTAATAGCATTTATTCTTAAATACTATTATATTTTAATTAATTAAAATTTTATTATTATTCAACATTTTATAGAAAAAGATTTGCTACTAATTCAACTTCAATCAACTCAATCCTTCATCATTAGTTGTTTCTCTCCTTTAAATATATGACCCTGATAGTTCATACAAGTTTTTTTAATTTCTTCTCCAGATATTGGTGCATTTAACAATATTTTGATGTCCATTACAATTCTAAGCTCCAAAGATTTTAATTAATTTTCAGAAGTGGAAAGTTTTATAATTCAGAAGTGGAATGAAATAAAAGTTGATAAAATTTACAAATCAAAGCAGATCATTGGTTGCAAAAACTAAAGGCTCGTTCCACAAGCAAAAAAGAAACTCTCCTAACATTTCAGGCTGAACTAATGTTACCTACTAATAAACCCTCAACCATAAATGCGCATAACAAAAATCTTCCGACTTCAAATTTGCAGTTTGATAAAGAAGATAGCGATAGTTACTGATGAATTAGAACCTGGAGCCAGTACTGTACGCTCAGAAACATCAAGAATTTCCCCAGCCTAACTGCAATTGGAGTTCAGATTTAGTTGGTTTGTACAAGCGACAAAAACGTGGAATGCTTTTCATATGAACAAGATGCTGAATTGAAAGAGAAGAAAAAGAAAAAAGACAACTTAGAACAGAAAAGAGCAAAGAAAGCAAGTAAACTGAAGAAAACAAAATTCAAATCTTCGTTTAAAGAAAATCCAGAACTACGCATAAATCTGAACGTCAGAGACAAGCCTGGTAGAATCAAACAAAATCAGTCTTTACTACTTAAAACTAATGTGAACATTGCTATGCATGGATCAGCATCTTATGAAAAACTAAGTAGTGATGTATATAGAAGCATCAAAACGTTAGACCAACTGACTGAACAGTTGAAAATGGAAAGCTTCAGAATCAGTTGAAGTGGGCTTTACCTTCGTCTCTTACAAAAGCGTAGTTCATCTCTTGAAGGCCAGCACCATGTATCAATGGTACCAGTAAAATTAACTAGAGCACAGAATGAACAGCACGCTAAACATATTGACGGCTTATTTTGTACTGCTACAATAAGGCAATATACATATATGCCCATGTTACGAATAAATGAAGTGTGTTTTTTGAGTCAAGATCACGAAACTCAATTTTCAAAGATTAGTTACACTCAAGGAGTTTGTATCCATTACCAGAAGTGAAATTGATCAATTGGTTGAACCAATTTTATTTTTGACAGTTAATGGTGGCCCTGATGATAACCCAAGAAATCAAAAAGTAATAAACAGGCCTTCTCAGGAGATGCATGCGATCGCACGTCTCTAATGACCATGCATATATTTTTTTGTTGATAACAAAAGAATATATATGCATACACACAAAAATGGTGCATTTTAAAAACGCACTGAAAAAACCAAACTAGTTTGTCATATATTTTTATTTTTCTTACTAATAACTTATTATTATAATTATTAACGAGAAAATAAAAACATAAAAAAATTATATTTTTTAAAAATATATAAAAATTTATCAGAGGTGACCGGCTAAGGAGAATAAGCTTGTTTTTTTGATACTGTATATTTAACTTACGTTATTTCACTTACGTTACCGAGCAATTATTATCGTGTATTTCTTATACCTATTATTATGAGTTAGACGTAACAAAAGAATTGCTAAAGTATTGAACTCATTCATTAAAAATAATTAAAAAATAAAATTTTTAAAAACTGGTGGCACTTTTCCTGAGTGAATTTTTATAACATGAAAGTATAAAAGTTATTAAATCAAATACAGTTTTTCCGCAAGACCAAAAGCAACTTTAGTACATCAATTTAGTACATCAACTTTATTAATACTTAATTGAGTCATTTAAATTGGTTTGTCGAAGTTTTTACTTACACTTCTTATATTTATGCATATTGCCTTATTTTCATTAAGTTGAATTTTTTAAATGCTGCAAAGTATTTACATTTAAATCTTTTAAAATATTTTTCATGAAAAAACTGCTTAGGAAAGAGAAGGATATATGTAATTGTTTAGGAAGGAGAAGGATATATGTAATTGTTTGTGACATGGGGGAAAGGATTAAGAATTGATAAATATAGGGTGATATGTTTATGGATGACCCCTTAAACAAACAAGTTGTTTCACTAAAACAAAAATCAAAAAGGTTCTAACTAATTTTTTTTTATATTAGGAGAATAGCAAATAAATCTATATTTTTTTTTTAATGTCTAAATAAAGATATTTATGAAACTCTTATTTTTATTTACACTTAAATGTCAACCAAAATAAGAATACATAAAAAAATAAAAAAAAATATAAATAATTTTAATTAACATTAAAAAAAAAAATTTTTTAATTTAAATTCTTCTAATATAAAAAGTTTCAATTAGAACCTTATCAAACCAATGTGACGAAATAATAATTACTTAATGACGTAATTCATTTTGTAAACAAAAACTTAATGAAAAAGCGTGAGAACTTGGTTATCAAGTTTATGTATTCCTATATTTTATGTACAACGGCATTACACCAGAATATATTGTAATAAGAATAAAAAAAAAAAATAAAAAAAATTAAATTATTTTTAAGTTTTTATTTTCTCATTAATAATTGTAATAATAAATTATTAATAAGAAAAATAAAATAATATGACAAACTAGTTTGGTTTTTCAGCGCGTTTTTAAAATGCGCCATTTTTAATATATGCAAAAAAGTTATCAGAAAAAAAAAAAAAAATTATGTATTGTCATTCAAGACGTGCGACCGCATGCATCTTCTGAAAAGGCCTGATAAAGGTTGCAGTACACCACTTTATCCAGCATGATTTTGATGCTTTATATCTTGCTACAAAAGCTCCTGGAAGAAGTGTATTTAATGGAGTTGAAAAAAATAGCACCACTTAGTAAAAAACTTGTTGGATTGATAGTACCACACGACCACTATGGTAGCCATCTGAACAAGAAAAGTTACAATTGATGTAATGCATGGAAGTAAGTGCTGTTTGAAACCAAGAAGTTCCTCTTTCAGTGTGATAAGACAGACTTCTTCAAGATGTTCAAACAAACAAAAGTTCTTAAAATTCCTGAATGAATTTTTCAATTTTAGCAATGCTTTGTTTTATTTGTTATAATTAGTTCAAATAAGATTCAATTACTAAAAATATTTAAGTTTGTTATAAATATTTAAACTTGTCTTTAAATTGTTAAAATCATTTTAAAGTTTATTTTATTCAATTAAAATGTGGATAATAGTTACTTTATAGTAGTAATATAAAAAAGTTTTACTACTATATTCAACTATAATAAACTAAAATTAAACATTTTGAAAATATTATATCTTTATGATTATAAAACGTAATTTTTTAAATCACAAGTGAATAATTGATAATAATTCAATAGTAATAAAGATAATAATCATTTCTTTTATTATCGCTGCCCATTGAAATTTTCCCATTAAACATACATATATGACAATAATTTAGAAAAATGTTTTATATTTAGCTATCAAAATAATGATATTTATCCAAAAGGGGGTGGGGGCCAGCAGCTTGTGATGTAATATTCCACGGGAGTCTAAACTTTTGTGACATCTTGTGATAAGGAGAAAGGGGGTCAAAAATTGCATGACGTTGTTTATGGATGGCCCCTAAGTTTACTTTAAGAAAACTGAATATTTTATATAAAATAAAACTATATTAAGAAATCAAACTCTAATCACTTTAACCAAGAAAGCATAACTAAAATGGAAATATGACCAATTAAAATGTTTCTGGACTAAGCATATTTATGTTTCATAAACAAGAAACTTCTGGTCCCAGGTGCTTTACATAGACACAAGTAGTTAGTTTAAAGTTAATTTGATTCTTTTTTCTAATATGGGTACATTTTAAAAAGTATTTTAGTTATAAATTAGTTATAAATATTATATAATTAATTTCTTTAAGAATAATTAATAGATTGCAAACTTTTAATAATAATGAATTTTTATTAAAATACAGTATTATTAAAATAATTATACTGTATTAATTAAAACAAAGTAATTTTAGTGTATTCAAAAACAATACCTGCATTGGTTGTGTCAAATTCTCATCTGAAAATAAAAACTAAACTTCAGAGTACAAGGCCAGATATCAACTTTAATTATTCTTTTACACCCCCCCGTGCCCATGAAAAATCTGATTATTAAAAAACTTATTAAAAAGATTATTAAAAAGATGTAAAATTGGATCTCTTCAAAATAATCCAGTATAAGTTTTTTGTAGTCAGCACACCCATGGATTAGAATCACTATAAAGAAAAAATACTAATAAAAAAATGTGATAAGGTCTAAAGAAGTTTTCTTAAAGTTAACTTTAAAAAAACTTTTAGATGCTATTTTTTTAAAATAGGACTAAGTACAAATATTAATTTTTTAATACTTTCAACAAATAAATTTTGTTATTTTTTTACTAAACATCCTTTATTATCTTTTTTACTATATAAATTGTATCTATTTACTAAACAAATTTTTTTTTAATTTACTTTTAAAATTTTACATTTTCAATCAAGTACCTTAGTTATAAAGTTTATTTCAAATTCTTTACAGAACCTTCCTTCCTTACTTTAAACTTAATTGTGGGTAAGGGTGAGAGGTTAGAGGAGCTTTTAAGTCTCCGGTGGTAGCACCACAATTAAAATACTCCACCCTGATTACCAAAATGTTAATGCCAGGAAAGAAATCTGGTTGAACAAATTGTCACAATATCAAACTTTCTTAATTCTTATTTAAATAAAAAAGCAATAAAAACTGTGCATAAGTAACAAAATTCACCTTACTTATGCACAGTCCACTTTTGACATTTCTTACTAAGAACAAAATAATGAAAAAATAATCTAAATAACTAAAATTTGTAGTTATAAATTTAAATTTTTATTAATTATAATTAAAACTAATTATAATTTATAACTTTTTTAGAAATTTTCGTTTTCTCAAATTTTTTAGCAAATAAAAAACTATTTTTTAAACTATTAAATTATTTTTGTTTAAAATTTATAAAACCAATATTTTTAAAAAGAAAACAAATTTATTCAAAAAATACATTTAAGATTTTGTTTTACATTTTCATTATAAATTTGATGTAAAATTTATTCTCGTCTAAACTGTAAAGCAGTTTTGTATATATAATTAGAATAAATTAAATATTCAAATTTAAGAAATCATATTGATAGCAAAAAATATCCTACCTTGTAAGGTAAGTACAGTACCTTGATAAATTTATGCTTCATTTTTCTTCAATATAAACAATGATGTAGAGTAAAATTTTAGTTTTGAAAAAATTAATGAAAAGTTTTGTAAAAAAAAAAAAAAAAAAAAAAAAAAAAAAAAAAAAAAAAAAAAAAAAAAAAAAGAAGAAAAAAAAAAAGAATAAAACACAAATGTCAATGAAATATGTTACAAAATTATGATCAATAACAAGTAAATATTGTTTTAGACATTGCTTTGAAACATCAACAAGTAAATATTGAACAGTTTTAGACGTTGCTTTGAAACATCAACAAGTAAATATTGAACAGTTTTAGACGTTGTTTTGAAACATCAACAAGTAAATATTGAACAGTTTTAGAAGCTGCTTTGAAACATCAGAATAACTACTGATAATGAAAAACTTTATCTAATGTTACATATAAATCAAAACCTAATTGAAATTAAATGAAATAATAAAGCTGATGCCCATATTAGAAGTAAAAACTTTTTATGTTTTATCTTGCTAGCTTACAATATGCTAAAAAGACAAGAAATTTGTTAAGTAAATATTTAATTTCTGCCAAACTAAACCAAATTTAAAGATTCACTAATCTTTTCTAAAAAATTTCAACAATTGTTAGATAAAGATTTAAAGTTAAATTAAAATCATAAAAACTGATTATAAAACCAAAAACCAAGATTAAGTATATTTTAAATAAAATTAGAGAGTAGCAAAGTAAAATGATTTACTTTGTTTGTTTCTGTCACACAATGGTTGCATACAGGTATCCAATGGTGGATACAGGTAACCAATTGTTGCATACAGGTAACCAATGGACCAACTAAGTGAGGTAGACATGAGAGAGGTAATTCTAGGAGCAAAATAACCATTGAGTGATAATCCAAAATTATAGATTCCCAACTAATTAAAAAAATTTGTTTTAAGCAGAAAGATAAAAGAAAAATCCAATGAAAATTTTGTTTTAAAATGGGAACAGGATTCATAATATTTTGTTTTTTTAGTGAAGTATAATACTAATTAACATGACATAAAACTTGTTGTGAGAGCATGCCCTTGACAAGTAATGTCAGTTGAAGTCTCAGGCTCTCCAAACATTATTGGTAGTTAAAATGCATTCCTGAGGATGGGAATCACCATATATCAACTACTTGAATTAAAATTAGTTCAAACAATGCCAATATTTTTACCCATACTTTTGATTTTTAATGCTTTGTTAAATTTATAATACTTTTACGGAATGCATTTTACCACATAAAACACACTAGTTTACAAGGTTTGATACTGTAGAAATATTAGTTGGTTTTCTTATAAACACAAGACATATTTAAACCTTGACACTCATTGACATTATTGCAGCAGATTAGCTGTCACACACAAGCAGTCAGAAATTTTTTTTTCTTGTTATGCAAACATTCATTATACCTGCTAACAAATATAACTGCAATGCTACATATAAAATATTAAAGTAGTTTGGTTGTTAATTGCATTTGTTGCTTCCCTCTCTATCTCCCATAAACAAAAAGATTTTTTAATTTTAAGTCTCACTACTCTTTTAGAAATCTTTTTCTTTTGGAAATCTATCCTTTTGGATTCTCACTCAACAGTTTTGCTATCTTTTCTGGAAAGCATTGTTGGTCACCTAAATGGGATCATTGTGTTACAAAATCCAAATAAATAAAGATTATGATTAAAAAATAACCTATTCTAATGAATAAAATAATTAAAATAAAATTGGAAATTGACAAAAATTGAAAATTTACTTATATAAAGTAATACTAAAAAAACAAAAAAACAAACAAACAAAAAAAAACAAGTAGAACTATATACAACTTTTAAAAAACAATATGACATTAATATACAATTTTAAAAAAACACTATGACATTAATGTAAGATTTTATCAATAAAGGTAATGTTGGTATCACTTCTATGATCAGACTTCTGCATGAGTTACACCATCTTTAAAAATCATTAACTTATTAAAAATAAATAACATACTTATAACTATTTTTATAATATTTATTATTTTATGAATAGCTATTATTATAATTTATTATTATTATTATTATTATAATTTGAAATCTTAATTAATTTGTTAATCTTACTTATTTTGTTATCTAATTATAACTTTTTATTAATAATAATTGTTATTGTTACTATTACTTTTATTATTGTTATTACTATTATTACCATTATCATTACTAATTTAGTATTTTTATTACTATTAAAAAAATAAAAATGTATAAATAATAACTGTAACAAATTAATGAAAATAATTAGCTTTTAGTTGTTGTTATGATAAATAAGTATTAAAATTGAGTATTGAACATTATAATCCAATATGAAATCCGGATCTGCAAAACAGGTTAATGTCAAAAAGAACATCCGGTTGTAAAAATTGCTTCCAATTTTCCATAAGACTATGTTTAAATAGCACTATAGGAGCCACATAAGTGGATAAAAACTTAAAAAAATATATAGGTTGAGTAAGCATATAAATTTAATAGATTGAGTAGCATATATATATATTTTTTGAAAACTTTATGATGCAACTTATAGTGCAAACAAACTGTTGAAATATCCAAATTTGAAAACAATAAAAAAAATGTATTTAAACGTTAAAAAAAATACTGTATACAAAATGTATATGGAACAACAACATTTACCTTTGAGTTCAAATAATATTGAGCTAATAATTTACAAAACAATGTTACAATAAACAACTTTTGCCTGTAAAAGCTCTTGAAATTTTAAACACTCAAAAATTTTGTGTTCTAGTTGGATTTTATTCACTTCACTCTAATTTACTCTTGCATCATTGGAATTTATTTAAAGTTTTGTCTCATAAGATTTTGAAAACCCTTATATCATGAGATTTTATACACTTTTATCTTTTTCTTGTCTTTTGTTATATACTTTTGTCTTTATCTTTTTTTTTGTCTTTAACTTCTTTGTCCCATTTCATTTGATTTGATCCATTATTTTATTTTACAGTCTCACCTACCATTGAATTATTATTTCCCCTTTCATCAACTTTTGAACTAGATATTCCTCCATTGGATTTGATAAACTTTCACCTGATTGAATTTTGAAGTTATTTCCATTAATCAAAACTTAGTTACTTTTCTCTCATTCTTTATGAGTTAAACACATTCTCACTCTCTGAGATCATCTAGAAAAGAGAATGTAATACATACTCTCCTTTTGTTGAAATTTATATTCCTCTCTTCTTAGTTGAACTTTATATACTTCTCTCAAAAAAATTTAAAGTTTATATTTAAATAAAGCAATATTTTAAACTAAAAAAAAAAATCAATAATATTATGTGTACCTTCTTTCTTGAGTACATTTATTATTCTTTATCTGGTAATTATTGTAGAAAAAAAATAATCTGGGTTGCAAAAACATTCCACAAGCACTTTTTTCCGAATCACACAAAATACTTGCCAAAGTTAAGAAATTACTCAATATTACGTTAAAAAAAAAAATCCTTCAATAATTTTAAAAATCCTTTGATAATCTTATTAATAATCTTAATCTAAACAATAATAATCTTTCTTCACAAATATTCAATAAACACATATAAAAAAGTAAACATCCAAAGTAATTGCAAAGATACTAAATAATATCAATTTCAAGTGAACTTTTTTTCTTTCTTTTTTTTTTACAAATAAATTATTAAGAACTAACTTAATCTAGTGTTAATGGTGATATGTAACAAATGTTTTAACAAATTTAAGTAAAGTTAGAAAACTTATTTCATTTAAACAAATTATTTTATTGTAAAATATAAACAAAAAAACACAGCAACATAACCATAGCAACATAATCTTAGTAATACAAGCAACATAATATTAGTAAAGGTACAACCAGAGGATCAGTACTTATTAACCTGCTCACTACATATTACTCCTACCTAACACATATATTTTTATTAACTTATGTTAGAGATGTTACTTATATTACAGAGTAGTATCGATTTAGTTTAACTATTATAAAAACGGTTGCTATTATTATCATATCAGATATTATTAGAATTACATTACAGATTGAGCTGAGAACTGAATAATTGATTATTAGTACCATTTTCATTAAAATCTTTTTAAATCCTATGACAAAGCAAATTGAATGATGTAAAAAAAAAAAAAAAATTTTAAAATCACTGTTATACTATTCAAAAGTCATTCACAATCCTAATGGAAAACTCATTGACAAAAATGTATGATTAATATGAATAATGATTGTTTAAATAAATAATATTTAGTAAACACTAACTCACAAATGATATATGTGTTTATTGGTATATGAACTGCGAACTCTGTGAGTCCTAAAATATCAGCTTCTTTTAAAAAAATTAATGCCAAAAGCTGGGGTTTAATAACCTTAATTTCAGTCGATGATAATTTAAAGAAATCTTTGAGATTAGTGAATAATTTTTTAGAGACAATCTTGAGATTCTTCAAAAAAAAAACCTTGAGATAAGTCAATGATTCTTTAAAGTTAACCTTGAGATAAGTCAATGAGTCTTTAAAGTTAACCTTGAGATAAGTCAATGACTCTTTAAAGTTAACCTTGAGATAAGTCAATGATTCTTTAAAGTTAACCTTGAGATAAGTCCATTTATTCTTTAAAAAATTATAAAAAGTTATTTCATCTTGAGATTAACTTTTTGACCTTTATTTATTAGTTCCACTTAAACCTGACATCAAACCAAAAACTTTATTTCAACAACTTTTTTAATCTATTTCTTTGCTTTTGTTCTTTTTTTGACAACAAGCTTTTGGTAGCATCATTTTGTACTCCAATTTATTCTCCTCTTTTTTCTCTATAGCCTAAGAGATTCAGCTACCTTAATTTTCTACTTCAGTCAAATCAGCTGGTTCTTTAATAATCTCACCTTTTTAACTAGTTTGAGATAAAAAATACCTACTTGTTTTCTCTTTTTCCTCTTTATTTAAATTTATCAACATTTATTTTTATAAAAAAAGAATTAACATCTTAAGTTTATATATGTGTAAAATTATAAATTTTTGTTTTAACTAATTACACCATAGATACACAACACATTATAGATATATACACCACACCATAGTAAACTAAAATAAATACATAATAACAATTTTGTTTTTAAATTAAATGATAGACTCAAAATCTTGTCTTATTTTAAAACTTGTAAATTTAAACTTTTTTTTTAATTTTATCACACTATATTTCAGTTTGAAAGTTCACACAATTGCATTAAAATGTTCTCTTTTTTATATCATTCAATTTGATTCGCATTTAGATTATCAATATAATAATAAAGAAGGCTTTTTAAAAAACTAAGTTTTATTTAGAAACAAAACATGATAAAAAAATTATGTTTGAATACTATTGACACTTTTTATTTATTGTCATACTAAATTACATGAAAAATACAAAAAAACTTAAAGCTTTGTGTACTGACACAAAAAAGTATAAAGATGTCGTTTTACATTTTATAAAAAAAAAAAAAAAAAAAAAAAAAAAAAAAAAAAAAAAAAAAACTAAAAGCCTTTTCCTACTTGAAAATACTACTTTAAAAAGAAAAATTTTAATAGCAACTTTAAACTAAACAAAAATCCATCTAAATTAACTGAACAAATGAATATATATATATATATATATATATATATATATATATATATATATATATATATATATATATATATATATATATATATATATATAATAAGCAACACAGAAAGTCATAAGTCGTAATAGCCCTTTACAAGTAAAATTATAAGCAAAATTTATTCAAAAGCATATTTTAATATCTTCACTTTGCAACTTTTCAGTTTAATTTATAATTGAACAGCAGTTTGTTATGTTAAATTTTTAAAATCTTCGTAGTTTCTTATGATCAAATCGCTCCAGACTCTGTGGAAGGGGAGCAAGGTTGCTTCCATGTTGGGGAACACCCTGCATCAGAGAAGTTTGCTAAAACATTTTAATTAATCTTATAAAATAATGTCAATCATCACTGTCAATCACTTATTGCCAATATAAATAAATGTCAATCATCATGATGGTACAAATGATGGTTCAAATGATGTTATATTTAAATAAACCTAAACTAATATAACTATTGTCAACTAAAATACACTAAAATTTATAATAAAAATGAATTTATATGTTTAATTAATTGAAAATGATTAAACATTTAAATTCATAACATTTAAAACTCAATTGATAATGTAAGATATTTAATGCATTCTCTAAAGGACCTTAAACCTAACCATCCAATCATATAGTAATAATATAATAATAATAATAATAATAATAATAATAATAATAATAATAATAATAATAATAACAATAACAATAATAATAATAATAATAATAATAATAATAATAACAACAATAATAAATAATAAAAATAATAATAATTAGATTGAGCAAAGTTGAATAAATTTGGAGAAATCATGGTATTTATCTCTACACTACTATGATAATAGATCAAAAAAAATGTATTGTGACAATCATTTTTCTAAAATTTTTAATTTAAGCTAAATAAGCAATTCTGTTTATCTGAACACAACTTATGTTAGAAGTAGTATCATCTAATTTATTTAAATTTTAACATTTAGTTTAAAAAAAAACATTAAATTTAACTAATGATTATATAATTTGACTATTTAATTTAGTTTTTAATAATAATATTTAATATAATTTAGTCCTAATTTTTTAATATATTTATATATTTTTTCAGTTAAAATTTTGTGCAACTCTCTTTAACTATTATCATTTAAACATCAAATTTTTATATTATGTAACATTAGAAAATAATTTTTATGTAACATTAGAAAATAATTTTTATGTAACATTAGAAAATAATTTTTATGTAACATTAGAAAATAATTACAAAACAAACAGAAAATTAAATTCTACCACATGTTTTAAACATCATACTAACATTATGCTTATTATACTTCATAGATAGAAAACCTTTACTAGAATAACAACAAATTATCAATATGTAAAGAACTATAGTTACAACTGTGTAGATACTTTAATACTGTCTAGGTACTTTCTACTGCCTATATTATTACTCTCTAGATACTTCAATACTGCCTAGATACTTTAAAGTCATACTCAAACTATTAACTCACTAAAATTTAAAAATTCGTTAAAAATTGTTCTCATATCGTAACTCCCATAAATCATACAAATTTAAAATTACAGTAAAACATTACAAGTTTAATCTTTTAAATTTAAATTTAGACACATAAAACTTGAAATATGTTTAAAAATGTCTTAAACTGTTTTTTTTTTTTTTTTAAATCTTTCCTAAACTTTTAATAACTCTTACCATTGGTCTTTGAATATTTGGTGCAAGTTGTATTCCTCCCGCAGGTGAAGGCATAAAACCATGTGGTAACCCATGCATCACAGTGCGAGAAGGCACCTGCATATTACCAAGAGGAATAGTAATGGGACGCATAATATCAGGTCGAATAGCAATCTTTAAGAGAAAATTGTGAAACTTTATTTTTATATATTTATTATAAGTTATAGGAACTGATAAAGAAAATCAATTTTAGATATTTTAGTAAAAAAGAAAAAAAAAAAAAAATAGCAAGATAACTACCATATTAGATAGTATGTAAATAAGATAATAAATAAGATAAAATAAAATAAGATAACTACCATATTAGAAGGCATGGAAGGCCCCTGAAACACAAAGAAATAATTTTAACAATTTCAAGATTATATATATATATATATATATATATATATATATATATATATATATATATATATATATATATATATATATATTTAAAATACTTCAAAAGCGGTCAAATAACAACAAATGGTTATAAGTTGGGATGAACAAGTTTTGGGTTGCTTAGTAAAACATACACTCATACACACCTCTGTCTCTATACTTGGCTTTAAAATATGCCAAAAAATATTAAAACTATATTTATAACTTTAAATAATATTTTACAAAACTCAATGCATTACTCTTAATATGTCTTTTCTTCTCATTTCTATCTCAGCTTGTTGTCGAAGAATAAACTCATTCTGACGTACAATATCTTCGTTAAAAGCTATCTGCCTTTGTTGGAATTCTCTAAATCAACAAAAATGAACTATTTATATAAAAAAAAAAAAAAGAAGTTAAAAAGTTAATTAAAGATATTTTATTTAAAAAAGATCCAAAACTGTTCACACAATTTGAAAGTTATAAATAAATATGTTTTACTTAAATTTATTAAATTAATTAATTTAAATAATTAATTAAAAAAATTTAAAAATTAAAAAATTTAAATATTTAATTAAAAAAAAAAAAATTAACTTAAATAATTATTAAATTTCTGTCATGTTCTTCTATATAAATTACAAATACCCTTAAATTTTCCTTTATATTATTTAAATGCAAGACTGAAGACTCACTCTCTCTCTCTCTCTCTCTCTCTCTCTCTCTCTCTTATATATATATATATATATATATATATATATATATATATATATATATATATATATATATATATATATATATATATATATATATATATATATATATATATATATATATATATATATACACATAATTAGTAAACCAATTGTTCATTGTTTGTTTTTTAATCTTAAAATTCTATGAATAAAAAAGTTCAAAAAGTTTTTCCAAAATTATTTTTACGATCAGTTTAAAAAAAAAAAGAAAAAGAAAAAAAGATTGTAAATATTTTATTATTGTATAATAATGTATTTACGATCTTTTTTTTTTTGTGATATTGTAATTATTACATTTCACAGGAATAAATATTCCTGTGAAATATAATAATTACAATATCACAATACTGTGAATTGTAATTATTACATTTCACAGGAATATTTATAGGCGTTATTAGATATCTTATAAAGGCTAAAACCAGGCATATTCACTAAACCACATTTTTTAATACAAAAAATTATCATAAAAAGATAATAAGAATATCTTAGCACATCAGATTTAAAAAAATATTTTGATTTACTTAGTAACAATGTTTTGATGCAATAAAAAATAGCTTTTGACATGCAATGCATACCTGGATGGCAATGGAGTATTTTTCGGAGAATCAAACTCTCGTTTTCTAGAAGTATCTGGAATTCGATGTTCATTTCTTAAATTGATTACAGCAGATCTTCTCTGTAAATCTTCTTCAATCTGACGAAGTTCTTCTTGACGACGCAAAAGCTCTAAAAACATAAATAAAAGTTTTATGTTTTCCTAATGTTTAAAACTATTTTAATAATTAAATATTATACCTTCTCTAATTCTAACAGCATCTTGTTGTCGACTTGCAGCCTCCATCTCATTTTCTAAATTAAACCTTGCATCTTGTAATTCTTGTTCTAATTTAGCTTTTTTTCCTTCTTCTTCAAGATAAAGATCTTTCCATTTTTTAGCCCAAATATACTCAAAAGAGTTGGGTGGAATAAACCGAGGAGTATACTCCCGTTCACTAAAATAAATATTAAGTATATAAGGCATATAAACTATTATAAAATCTGTTATACAATACCCTTATATCAATGATAAAGTAAAGCTTTTTAATTAAATTTTATTTAGCAATTAAAAAAATATATTAAAATAAAACATATAGAATAGATTTACCTAAGATAAACTAATGTTTTGAAAAAAACAACTTTATATTAAAAAGGGTTCTGCAGTTTTTAAATTACATTTTTATCTAGAATGATCAATAAATTTAAGTTAACAAATATAAAATTTTTTAATAAATAAAAAATATATTATAAACATATATGAGTTGTGTTTGTGACTTTGTATTTTAAAGAAAAAATATTTATTTATCAATATTTATTTAAAGTAATCCCCCTCAGATACAATACACTTATGCCAACAGTTTTTCCAAAATCCTAAAAGCACTTCTCATAAGCACTTTTCGGTATAGCCTTGAGCTCTTCCAGCGATGCAGTCTTTATCTCTTCAATCGTTGCAAATCTCCATCTTTTCATTGGTCTCTTTAGTTTTGGGAACAAGAAAGTCACATGGGGCCAAATCCGGTGAATATGGTGGCTGAGGCATGATTGTGGTGTTGCTTTTGGCCAAAAAATCTCACACAAGCAAAGATGAGTGAGCAGGAGCATTATCGTGATGCAAAAGCCATGAATTGTTTTTCCACAATTCTGGACATTTTCTTTGTATTGCTTCTCGCAAACGGTGCATAACTTCAAGATAATACTGTTTATTAGCCGTACAACCATATGGTAAGAACTCCTGATGCATCATGTCATGGTAATCGAAAAAAACAGTGAGCAAAACTTTGACATTTGATCGAACTTGGCTTGCTTTTTTTTTGGTCTTGGCTCACCTAGGCTGTTCCACTGGGACGATTGGGCTTTGGATTCAACATCATAACCATATATCCATGATTTATCACCAGTCATGACCCTTTTGAGCAAATCTGGGTTGTCGTTGATGTCATTCAACAGTTCTTGAGTGATGCTCATGTGACGGTTCTTTTGGTCAAAATTGAGAAATTTCAGAACAAACTTCGCTGACACACATCTCATGTCCAAATTATTAAAAAAAAAATTTCATGGCACGAGCCAAACGATATACCAACATCCTCAGCAACTTCTCTGATAGTGATTTGACGATTTTCCAAAACAATTTTCTTCACTGCTTTTCATCATTTGTTGACGTGGTTGGGCATCCAGCAAGGCTCGTCATTGGCATCTTCCCAGCCATCTTAAAAGAGTTTGTACCACTTGTAAACATTTTTTTTACTTAGAACAGTTTCACTGTATGTCACTGTCAACATTTCAAATGTTTTGGAGCACTTTATTTTATTTTTCACACAAAATTTGATGCAAATCCTTTGATCCATATTTTTTAACAGCAAAAAATCGCCGAGCAAAACACTTATAACCTTTACGCCTCTAACAACCAAACAAAAAATGATATACAATTGAAACTTGGTACAGATGTTATGGAAGAGTGTACCAACATGACAAAACAAAAAAAAAATCGATAATCGAAAGTACGCTGCCTGCGAAATTTGAAAAGTCACCTTAATTTTTGAACACACCTCGTATATTTTTAAATGTAGTTCATACAAATGCAAAGTTTTTTGAACACTTTTTTTTAAACAAAGATTTAAAATTAACTTATATATAAATTCTAAACTTAAAAAAAAAAAGTTATTTATCGCTTTTTCCAATATACTTCTTTACACTAAAACGTTAAATTAACTTGCATATTGTTTGTTACATCTACATTCCAGTTATGCTTGTTAAACTTAGTTTAAACAAAGTTTTCTTTATTTACCTTTATCAAATGAATTTGCCACACTGTAGGAAACAACCAGGGCTGGTATTTGACTTGGGCTAAAGCTAGGTTTATGGCTGGTTATAGCCGGGTTTATGGTTAAAAACAAATCCATATGCACCAATGTTTATGCAGTCCCGTCCGTAGAACTGGCCTTGGCCACATTCAAATACTAGCCCTGGTGGTTTACTACCACGCTGTGAAAACTTTTTTTATTATATAGGAGTGGATATACATCAAAACAAAGGGGGCCCAATCAGCTAAGGCAACTACTCATATATATACATACAAACACACAAACACACACTCACACATAAACTCATATATATATATATATATATAAATTTAAGATACTGCATTTATATCTATATATATGGCTTAAATTGATGTTTTCTAGAAGAAAAATTTTGAAATAGTTTATACTTACACACTATATCCTTGAAACTTGGAAACCTCTGATTCATGTATACCTTCTTCATCATCTTGCTGTAGAAATGGTTTTGCAAAAATAGGTTTTGGCAATCTATCAAAAATGCAGTTTTAGATTTAGTATTTGACCGAAATTCTGCTTTGGCTGAAATTTCAAATTGAACCAATACCAAAATTTAGGTTTTGGTACTATTTATAAATTTTGTAAAAAAGCAAAATATCGGTTGAAAAACATACCGAAAACTGAAAAACTTGATTTTAAATTTTTATCTATTTTAAAAAAATAGTTATTTTTGAGGATTTTCACAAACTATTTTACTATTTGTAAATAAAATTTTAAGCCTATTATTCACAAACCACAGTTTTTAGTTACTAAATCGAGCGTTTACACCTGCTTCTTAAAAATATCAAAACTGCAAGTAATCAAGACATTGCAGTGCATAATATTTTGACTGATAAAGTTTATTTAAAAAAAAGTTAGTTTTAAAATAGTTTAAGTAAGTCTTTTCTTGTTCTTTTAAGAAAGTGAACAAAAATAAGAATAAAAAAATAAGAATATAAAAATGATTTTTTAGTTACTATTATAGATTTTCAATGAGTTTATTTTTATTTTTATTATTCTTTTCTTATGACTATTAATTTATTATTATTATATAAGATGGAAAGAAGTCATCAAAAAAGTTGGGTTTGGAAGCATTTCACAGTACCCATTAGGGATCCTAAATATGCCAATTACAATATTTGCCATGGAAAAGTATCTTGTGGATCTGATAATCCTAAGTACCAGGCTGTCAGTGGCCATCTTAAAACACACCATCATCTTATAGCAAAAACTAGCCCTGTCTTCAAGCTTCAAGTCTTCAAATGTTCAAGAAAAAAGCAATTCTATTTATAAAACAAAACAAAAAAAGAACAGTTCCTATTTTCAACATTAGGTCTAAGAAGCAGAAATGCTTCAATCTATTATGCCCAACTGGATTGAAACCAGCACAAAAATTGAATCAAACTCAGTACAAGGACAAAAATTTCATAAGTCCATCTTTGAAATAATTATTCTTGAAAACAACCATGTTCAGTTGTCAATAAAGGTGATTTTGTGAGACCATGCCCTAATTACTCCAACTTATGAAATTGCAAGCACAAATCATTACAAAATTATGTTAGACCCTACATACAATAAGATAAAAACTGCTATAAAAACGTGCTTAGCGAAAGAAAAAGTCATAAATGTATCAAATTAGCCTTAATGCATGGCTGAACTTTCATCACGGTTATTTAGGGATGACAATTCATTTCATTTTGAAAGACTGGGAACAAATGAGGTTCTGTTTGTCATGCTCCAAGTTTAATGAACATCACACATCAGCAAACATTTATCAAAAGTTTTAAGAAACAGCCAAAGACTGGGACATTTCTTCAAAAATTGATAGTTTAAGAGAAAATGCAGCTAATGTTAAAGCAGCCTTTAATGAACCAGGTTAATTCTATCAATTAGCTGGATGCCTTAACCATTCTCTTCAACTAGTTATTAAAAAGAACATTTTTCAATGAGCTCAGTCAAAGCCCTCACAGTTTATAAATTCTGAAAGTTTTAATAAAACACCCTAAAAAAGATATTTTAAGAGGTGATTCTAGACACATGTAGAGATCTGTTACAAGTGGTTTTGAAATTTTTACAAACTGTCCGTGAGACTTTTTCACTTTTAGTTTTTCCACTTTTTTTTTTTTTAATTTTTGCCTGTGGTAGGTTTTGCTTTTTCAACAGAAATGAGATTTAAAACTTTTATAATTTTTTTTGTGTCCCACAAAAAAAATTATAAAATAATAATGAGCCCTTAGACTTTAGAAAATAAAAAATATTTTTATTAAAAATGAATAAAAACATACTCAAATTAAGTTATTTATGATAGATTAAAAACATGTATACAACTCTTAAAATTTTATTTTTTAACTTTAATTTCTCTAAGTATATGACAAGTATTGTTTAATATATCACACATGACTTGCAAAAAACAACAAAAATGATTAGTAAACTCATTCTCAAACAGTTCTGGAGTTTTTCTTAAACCTTCTTACAGTTATAATCAACAATAAATATCAAAAGTTTTTGTGAATATTCCAGATGCTTAACATCTCTTTTGTATCTCTCTCAGTGAATTTTGAAGTTTGAGTGTAGAGCTTCTGTTGCTCCGTCACTGGAGAGACCAAGTCCTGTCTTTTTTATTTTGATGAGCTGTAGCACATGATGAAAAAGAGCATGTATTTTTGGTGCGATGGAAACTAGAAGTTTGATGTAGCTGTTTCCGAATTTCATAATTTTTGACTCAAAGTCTGGATCCAGCTATGTGTCAAAGCATGCAGTAACCACATCTCCAAAATGAGACAATTATAGATGAAGGGAATGACCTAATTGAAATTGGCAGGATCAGCAAGCTGCTGCTGCAACTTGCCCAAACCTCTTAAAAGTTTCATACAATCATTGCTGTTGAAATGAACACCATGGTATGGCTGAAGTGGAATATGCAATGCTGATGGCCATTCCTTTGCACCAGACCAAAGATCGATCAGATATTTCACAATATGATTCTCAACACATAGCAACAAATGTAGCTCCATTGGTGGAGTAGCTTCTAAAATAAGCTTTTGGTCTGGAAACTTTAACAATGGAAGACGCACTACAATTTGGAAGTCGTATGATATTCTCAAATCACCACCTGAGCTAACAAACCCTCTTTGCTTGCTTTTTATGCCACCTGGTAATTTTTGATAATGAAGGTGCCACCAGTCTGACAGTTTTCTGAAATCTTGAACCATAATAAGAGTAAAGCTTACTTTTAGAAAATTTCCTCCTCCATCTATGCCAAGTTTCACAAAAGTAGAGTCATATTTTTCTTGCTGACATGAATATTACAATGAGTTTGTTGAGATTTTTTTTTTTTTGTTATTCACCTCCTCAAGGCCAAGAAGGCCACTACAGACGAGGAGGCTACTTAATAGTGGTTATAACCCTCTCTCAACTCTATAACTCCGAAACACAAACCTTGACAAACAAGGCCGCTGCGCGGAGAAACAAGTTGATCCCACAGTGAACAACTTGACTTGTGGTATCACTGAGCTGAATACTTGTGACTGTAAAATAAAACCTGCTTAAGCAAATTTCTTTTAAAAGTTAGGTTCAAAAATTCTGACTGGACTCTAAAATTTAAAAGCAGATCTTAACTTTATCATCCCATTGTTGGAAAGACCTGTGTTTTGCTGAATTTGCAACATAATTTGGGTTGTCAGGAGTTCCTTGAACAGTTGTTGTGGAAGATCCTGTTTAAATGATCAACTTTTAAACAATACAATAATAATATTGAATCTTTTACATACATAGTTTAAAATTTACCTCTTCTTAATGGTAAAAGTTTTCCACTTGGTTGACTAAGTCAAATGGTACCATTTGGAGAAGAATGCTTACCTGCCACAACTGTTGATGCCACTTGCTCTGCTCCAATAGTATCAGATTTAGCCATCATCCTCAAATTTTCATGGCGAGTTCTAGGAGTGCACTGATGTGGAAGCCCCTTACCACGGACTGACAAGCATTTTGGTCATAAAACGTAAATATCTTACAAACTATTGCTCACAGCTAGGGCTAGCAAAACCGGCAAACCGGTTAACTGGTAAACCGGTTAACTGGTAAAGTGGTTTACCGGTAAATTGGTTAAAAATTATGTTTAAATTTACCGGTACTTTTCAAATGATTTACCAGTAATTTGGTAAAATTTTATGGAAATTCTGAATACTTTATTAGTAATATTTTTTTCTAACTAAAAAGAAAAACTCTACAAAAAAGCTAACTTTTTTACATATAAAAAAACAGTTAAAATCGCAAAAAATTAAGAACTTTATAATGGAAAAGAATTTTGTTTCCTTACAATATTACAATATGCATTTCTTAAAAAAAAATACAGCCTAATTGATTGATTTTTCTTAAATTTTTGTTTTTTAATAGGGAAAGAAAAATATTTACATACAATTAGGATTTGTTTATGTCGTTTATTTATAATTACATTCAGTTTATTTTGTGCTCGCGTCCCATGTGGTTACAGTTACAGGTGACATTTTATTTAATTTAAATAGTGCGTTAGTGAGTTTTTTTTAAATTATTTGGTATTTTGCACTGGATGATAAAATTATTAAGTATCATAAAAAAAAAAATTGAAAATAAACACAAAACATAACTTTGAAAATAAAGCGAATATTCTATATTTTTATTGTGTTGAGTAAGTATTTCACAAAAAGTCTTTAAAATTATATTATAGAATATATTTGTATTGTGTTCTAAAACTTACATATTGAATTTTAAAAAAAAGTCTTATCTATGATGTCTACTGGATCCGGACAAAATCAATTGTGGAATCATTTTCTACGTACGAAAGCTGGCGATTCAGCTATATGCAATGCATAAAAAAAAAAAATGCTCTGGTGGCAGCACAAGTGGTTTGCACAATCACCTTATCAGAAAACATAAAATTAATTTGCTAAAAAGAGTTCAACATGATGATGCAGAAGTAAGTTGTTCTAATATCAATACCGCAACTTTTGTTGCGAATGATACAAATTCTAGATAAAAAATTTCTGATTATTTCAACATTATTAAAACGATTGATGACTCATTTCCAGCTGTTTTAGCACAACTGACAGCACGAAATTGTTTATTGTTTAAAAAGATTTGCACATCATACAATCTTCAGCAATTATTTAAATCCAAAGGATATGATTGCTTAAAGTCTCCAAAAACAATTAAGAAAATGGTGTTGCAGTACAGTGACAAAATCCGAAAACAAATTGTTACAGAACTATCAGAAAGAATAGCCCGTAGGGATTTATTCAGATTGACTTTCGATGAATGGACATATCTCAAAAATCGAAGATTTATGAATGTGAATGTCCACTCGTATGATAATATATTTTGGAATTTCGGATTGGTTAGGATTAAAGGATTGATACCTGCTGAAAAATGTATAACGTATCTTCAAAATACACTTAAAGAATTTAGTATTGCGATAGAAAATATAATTTCCATTACTACGGATGGGGCCGCCGTAATGAAAAAGGTAGGCAGATTACTGGATGTAAATCATCAACTTTGTTTAGCCCACGGCATCCAGTTATCAGTAATTAAGGTGCTGTATAAAAGATCTGTTTTGGATAATATTTCTGTAGAAAATCAATATGCGGCTATTACTGAATTTGAACATGGTGAAGATGAAGAGGACAATGTAATGGAAGATATTGGGGTTTTTGACGTTATTGAGGATACATCAACTACTGATTCATCAATTCAACATGATAGTATATATCCAATAATATCAAAAATTTGAAAAATTGTTGTCATGTTTTGTAGATCACCAACAAAAAATGACATCCTCAAAAAACATGTTAAGGATGAATTTAAAAAAGAACTTACGCTAATCCTTGACACAAAAACACGGTGGAGCAGTATGTTGATAATGTTGGAAAGAATTTATGAGATTAAAAATTGTGTTCGTAAGAGTCTAATTGATATCAAATACGATATAGATTTATCAGAAAATGATCTCAATGTTGTTTCAAATATAATAATGGCTTCGCAACCTGTTAAAGTAGCTGTGGAAGCTCTCTGTTCAAGGGACACGAATCTATATGTTGCAGATTTGACAATTAGGTTCATGTTGGATGAACTAAGTAACCAAAATAATTTCTTAAGTAATGAATTGAAACAAGATTTAATATTTCAAATAAGTGAGAGAAGAACCGTATATTCTGATATATAATCATATCCACGTACAGCTTTAAATAATGAAAATAATTATGGTGTGTTTAATACAACAAGTAAATTGGTTATGGAAAAAAAGGTTGTAGAAATCATTCAACAATTTTTAAAAAACGATTCTAAAACTAATGAAGCTGAAGTTGTGCAAGTGTATGAAACTGAATCAACTAGTGAATCAACGGTTTTATCAGTAGTGGCGACATCAAGTCAAGCAATGTCAATGAAGAAAAAACTTGATTTAGTAATTAAAAAAAAAAGATAACTATTGCTCACGAAGAGATTAGTGATCCGAAGACAACATCCAGTCTTTTAAATATAGTCAGAAAAGAAATGACGTATTTCAAGGAACAAAATATTAAAGGAAAATATTTAAACAAACTCCAAAAGTATATTTCAGCAGTTCACTTAACCAGTGTAGAGTCGGAAAGAGCTTTTTCTGCAGCAGGTTTAATTGGCACAAGGTACAGAACAAGTTTAAATGACGAAACATTAAATGTAATATGTTTTTTAAGAGTTTACTTCAATAAACAATTTATGCTCCTTGAAAATAATTGACTATATTAATTATTTTTATTTTAAAACTGAAGTTTTCTTTATGTTTATGTTTACGCTAAGATACAAAAATGTTAATGTATAATAAATGAATTAATTATATTTTATTATATAAAAAAAATCTTTTTGATTGTTTAATATATTTATTTTTAACTAGGATGGACCTGTAAACTGATGCTGTTTTACTAATATATTCATTTGTTATGCTTTTTATTGTTTTCAGCGCAAATTTGCATAAAATAAAAAAGTTTTGCAAAGAGTTACTATGCATTTGTTATTTTATAAATTTTTTTTTGTGGGACAAAGATTTAAACCTTTTTTTTGTTGAAAAACCTAAATTAGGCGAAAATTTTTTAAAAAGTGGAAAAAAACTAAAAGTGAAAAAAGTCTCACAGACTGTTTGGAAAGATTTCAAAATCATTTGCAATGGATTTCTACATGTGTCTAGAATCACCTCTATCTTTTAAAATATCTTTTTTTGGTTATTTCATTAGTATTATTTTCAGAATTTTCAAACTGTACCCTGGTTATAAATACTGAAAACTTTATGTATTACACTTAAACAGGTTTTATACGGAACTCTACAAACAGCAAGTTCAGATGGACAACAAAAATCAACATGGGTTAAAAAATGACATTGCAACAAGGTGGAACTTGACTTTTTATATGCTGCAAAGAATTTTGCTTATTAAACCTGCAATTCCCGCTACAATCCTCTAGCATTGATATTTCACGGGAAGATTGAAATGTTTGTGAAAAAGTGATCAAAATTTTGCTTATTTTTGAAGAAACCACTTAACTTCTTTCTGGAAGTGATTATTGCATCAGTGCTTGTATCCTCATCATGACAACTATAATAAATTCACTGAAACTGAAAGTGAAGATGATGATATGATAACAATGAAACATGCTATGAAATTAGCAATGGAAAGTCATTTTCAGAGCACCAAACAAATTAAGCACTATTCCATTGCAACCTGACTTGACCCAAGGTTCAAGCTTTTTTTTTCTTCCTTAGAATTGGATTCTCAATTACCCTCTTATTGTCTAAATTTCTGGAAGAATTACGAAAACAATGTTTATAAGTTATTTTCAACAGCTGGAGATATACCGAGCAATGAAAGCAACAGACTATTACCATATAACCTCTAAAAAATCTTGTTTTGCGGAGAAAATCAGTTGTTAACTTTGGCTAGAAACTAGGGGTGTACCGGTTTGGAAATTTTAAATTCCAGCCGGAACCGGATTTGCCGGAATAGTTAAAAAAAATTCAACCGGAACGAGAATTATATTTGTGTAATTTTTTACCTTCAAGATTGATAGCGAAAGCCTGCACCTCAACATGGTGGTTTTTAGCAAACAGGCTCTGCTGCTGAGAATAGTATCATTTTTAATGTTTCTTAACTTTTAAATAGTTGAAAAGTATAAGACCTGCCTAATACATAATATTATGCAGGTTAAAACTGTCAATAAATCAAATTATAAGAAAAATTGATTTCACATTCCACATACAATTATATAATTATAATGAATACATTCCACACGTGTATTTTTTACCTGATGATTGTAAAACGCATGAAACCTTTAGTAGTAAACATTATGTAGTTATTTTTACTTAATCTTGTCAAAAAAATCAATTTTTCTTATAATTTTATTTATTGACAGTTTTAACCTGCATAATATTATGTATTAGGCATCCTATACTTTTTAACTATTTAAAAGTTAAGAAACATTAAAAATGAGACTATTCTCAGCAGCAGGTAACATTTTTGATAAAAAAAGGTCCTGTTTGTTGCTAAAAACTGGATAGCAACTCTTTTTGCACCACAATATTTAGAAATCCTAACAAAAGTGATTATTGCAAATAAATTAGGCAAAGCTACAGTTAAGTGGTCTAAAATAATTTTATTTTTCTTGATTGTTGTGCCTTCTTGTGTAGACATGCTCAAAGTGGTTACGGTTTTTAATATAAACAAAAAGAATTACTTTAGTAACAACTATCTTATAGCCTGCTGCTACAAGGGAATGTTGCTACATCAATTATCTTATAGTCTAATAATACAAAGAAGTGCTGCTACATCGATTAAGGGTTTGGCATGGGACAGCAATCTTTTTTCTTTTATTAATTTAATTAAAATTCATAATGTTTAAAGAGCATCCTCTGACAAGAGCGCAACAAGAAAAAATAAAATTATTTTAGACCGCTTAACTAGCTTTACCTATAATTACATTATGTTTGTTAATAATTTTGTATCATTGACCTGTAGTAGAATGAATTTTTGATTTAAATTACACAGTCTGTGTTACAAATCTTAAAAAAAAAAAAAAAAAAAAATTAATTACAGCATTCCAGTCTGAAATACTGTAATTCCGCCCGGATTGACCTAAAAATCTCAAATTCTGTCCAAAACAGAATTCCGGTACATCCCTACTATGAATTTCACAAACTTATGTATTAAATCTTAATTTGTGTAACCAACAGGTGTATATTCTATCAATCAATTCTAACATAATATGCATATAAAATTGCATTTTTAAATAAAATTTTCTAATGAAATTAATTTTGACTAACCAAAATGTTGGTATCGGTAAAATATTTGTCGTAATGTCGATTTCAGTTTCGGCACTGAACTAGAGAATTCAAAATTTTGGTTTATTTCTGTTTCAGTCAATCACTAATTAGATTATCTATAACAGATGATTACTATTAATATAGGAATATAATCTTGTAAAGGCCTGTTTTGAATTCCTTATTGAACCTTTAATTCTATAGAAAACAAAACAAAAATATTAGCATTTTTCTTAAATATAACTTATTTGAAACTCTTATGAAAAAGGCACATGCCTCACTACCTTTCCCTGCATTTCTGTAGATGCAAATAAACAATATGAAAATGTTAAAGAATTTTATGCACCTTCCTAACACAAACATTTCATCTTTGAATCTATCCAATACTTTTTGAGCTGATTTTTTCCATTCAAACTCCACAATTGCATGTCCTTTTGAATAACCTCTTTCATTGCAAACAACTACAACACGTTCAACGCTGCCAAATGCACTCATCGCTTGTTCAATATATTCATTTGAGGCAAATCGATCAAGACCATGAAGTTCAATTGCAGATGCATGTGTTGCAAAGCGAACTTGTAAAACACGACCTTTGAAAACAGTTTTGTCTAAACGACATTTGGCAACTTCAGCATTGTGACGATAATCCTGAAAACATAATATAAATTTTTTCAAGTTTCAAACTTTTTAAATAATTTGTATGTTTTTATAATTTACAAAAAAAAAATGTTTTATTAAAGATGACGTACTGAAATAATAGCCATATCGCTGTACATAAATAGTCTAGGAATTAGTACTTTCAAAAACAACTGATATTACAAAAAACAAGACTGAAAGTAACAATTGTAATTAAGTTGGAAGTTAACTGAAAGCAAAGAAAAGATTTAAAGGGCAGGAAAATGTTTATAAAGTTGACAAAAAAATTAAGCAGTTGACAAAAAACTTAAGTAGTTGACAAAAAAACTTAAGCAAATGACAAAAAAAAAACTTTTAAAATTCTGTAAGTTGTTTAATAAACAATAATAATATTGTTAAATTAATTAAATAACAAGTCATGTGAGATCAAGTTTTGGTTGATGGAACAAGAAATAATCACCTGCATGAGCAGCTATTATTTGCATGTATTTACAAATAATAGCTATTTATTAATAACACTCATGCTAGTACTTGAGGAAAAAAAAAAAGACATGCAACCTTACAACAATTGTACTAATCGCTTGAGGCTCAATCTTTGCAGCTAGGGCAAGTCCAATAACCTTTACTATTTGTTTTTAGACATTGTCTAAATAAGAAAGCACATCATTAGGAGAACTACCCTAAATATGACAACAGCATTCTATACAAGACAAACATGAGATTTTTAGCGGTAGAGAATGAGATCTGTAGTATAAAAATGGTAAGCATCATGAAGAGAATAAAATACTGAATAAAAAAGGTTACTGGGTTGAAATAATAAGAAACACTCTTATTTTTTATTCATTTATTTCTTTTATTTTATTGACTTAAAAAAAAGTTATAGTATTGAATTTTAACTTTGATTGTTTAAACCATTTTTAACATACAGATTTAGACAAAGAAAAGTAAACTTTTCAAGTTTAACAATACTTTTTAATAATAATATAAATAATAAAATATATAACAATAAAAAGATGTAATAATAAAGATAAAAGTCTTATCTAACTTTTTAAATCATCATTTAACAAGATTTTTGCTGCAAGGTCAGTAACTAATAAAAATAAAATTACTTAAAATAATTTTTAAGAAATAAAAATATTCTTGATTTAATTTTAATGTAACAGTTAGAATTTTGCTTTTACCAAATTGTCAATTAGTTTAAATTAGCAACAGATTGTTTTGAAAATTACTTTAATATTATAAAATAGTCCTCTGACATGAATAATTTTTATAAATTTTTATAAAATAATATTCTTGCAGCTCAACTGACATAGCAAAGGGAAGAGAGGAGGGAACAATAGTAATGTGAATTCCCAATATTGTACAGTTGGTTAGAGCGCTGTTAGAGTTCCTTAAGCAAATGATATTTATTGTTTATAAAAATTATTGTTTATAAAACTTATTCCTGACACCTTGAGAGGTAAAACTTATTTCTAGAACTGGATTTTTGACGTCTCCATAGTAACTGATCCATTATAGTCAAGTGACTTCACAATAAATTTGGTAGGGGTAATACTAGGTTCTGTTAGTGACATAAAAATTTATACTTGATTAGTGACAGATTTGAATCATGACTTTTTGGTCCTTTTACAATGAGCTATTGCTATTTCCATAAATAAACTAAATATAAAAGCATTTCCGCATCAAAAATTCATTTACTGCTGTTAAATTAAGACATCAAAAATCCATTTACTGCTGTTAAATCAAGTATACTTTTATAATAAAACTAGTATCGTATACACACACACATTTCTGTACCAATATGCTATTGTTTTGGTATCACGAAGACAAAAAATTCATTTGGAACAACTAAATAATCTTCTTAGTAACAAACAAAAATCAAACAAAAAAATTCAGAAATCAAAACATAAAACAAGATACTTATTAGTATAGTATTAAATTAGACTTTAATTTTTTATAAAACATTAGAGAAATGTTATAAAAAATCACAAATTTTTTAATGGTACACAGTTGTCCAAAAAGGGGTTCTAACCTCTTTGGAAATGACCCAAAAAATCCCTTGGAGGGGTGATTCTACAGGTTATGGTGATCATTTTGAAACAAAAATTTAAATCCTTTTATTACGTCCGCAGAAGAAAATTTAATATAAAGTTTTTGCCTAATTTGCCCTAAGAAGCATTTCTGTTAAAAATCAAAGCTCAAAGAAAATCTTCCACAGATTGAGCTTGATGTAATGAATCAAATAACAAAAGTCTATGCTGAAACTGACCGTATCACAGCTTTCAGTCCCAAACCTTCATCATCACAGCCAGCTAAAAAAAAGATACAGTATTTGTTTGTCAGTGCTCCTATGGATGTCCTTTCATCCACACTTTTGTACTATAGGTACAGCTAGAAAAATGTACAGAAACTTGCTGTAGAAGACCATAAGTTTGTTGAACAAATAGCACTGATTTAATCTATAAAAAGATACCTGTCCAGGAGGTACTATCAAACTTAGTTGAGCAAGTGCAGGTACACCTTTAAAAGTTCTGCCAGGACATTCAGCAAAGTAAAAGCAGCAACTATTTACTGCTGAAACATTGGTCCATGTTCATAACAGTACAAATCTTTCCAATGTTGGTGTGAAAAGGCATGCATCAGCTCTAAATAACTCAATGGAAAAAAGAGCTCGAGGCAAAAGTGAAGCGACTTGACAAACTTGACAACCTCTTAAAAATTAACAAATTTTTTTGATAATGTCAAATGTTATAATTCTAGACAAAGAAATGAAAAACCAAGTTCGAAAAATTGTTCACTACAAGAGCTTAAATGCCTTAATCAACCATATTCTCTCAGTAAGAGGATCACATCATTTGATCACATTAAGTTGGAATTGATGAAGGTGGTTCATTTTTAAAAAATTTTTTAACCCCTACAGGCAATCTGAGCTTATTCTTGATGTAATTCCTCCAATGGAACTCCATCTTTTTCTTGGAATCTTCAACCATATTTTCAAGCAACTCCTTGAAATATGGGATCAAGCGCAAAAATAGCAAAATCTCTTGCACCTTCAAATGCGACATAAAACACCCCCTCCGACATAAAACACTCCCTCCGACATAAACATCCCCTCCGACATAAAACACCCCCTGCGGTGGGGCTCTAGATGGCTAGAGATGGTGTCTCGATAAAAATACTCATCTCATCAAATGAGGGTACAGCTCTAAAACTCAGTTTTATTGTTCTGAGGCCGGCTGGTAGTCAGGTTTCCCAAACTCTGTGGTAGCTCTCAGAGAGGCTGATTCCATCAACAGCTGAAATATATAAGAGTACTAACAGTGCCATGTTGCGCATGGATGGTGTCCCTGTTTGTACTTTTGATGTGCATTGCCAAGGCCACATTAGAGCCCTTTGTTACGGCTTAGGGTTTATTAGTGGAAATGAGGCAATTGCTTGAGCTATAAAACAGTGTACTGAGTACTATCTATGTTTCGAGTCAAGTTCTTTAACAAATTTAAAAATGAATAAAGTAGCAAAAACTATAAAACACAAAAAACCACAGTCATCACCAAGTTCGCTAAACCTATCATTCACCAATATTCATGGTCTTCGAAGTAACTTTTCTTCTATTGAATCTTATCTCTTGCAAAGTTCACCAGACCTACTTGCTCTTTGTGAGACTAATTTGAGTTCAGCTGTCTCATCTTGTGATCTTAGTGTTGATGGTTAACTTCCTTTAATTTGTAAAGACTCTAATAGTCACATGCTTGGCTTGGGCATTTACATTCGTAAGAATTCACCCATTTGTCAAGAAACTAGGTTTGAATCCACAAACTACTATTTTATGTGCTTTTGTTTAGCATCACTTCACTCTATCACCTTTCTCTTTGTTCTATATCGCTCTCCCTCATCTCAAGACTGCACTCTTCTTGATGTTATTTCTGATTATATTGACCAAGCCCTCATTCTTTATCCATCAGCCAATATTGTTATTGTCGGTGACTTTAATGTTCATCACACTGAATGGCTTGGCTCTAGTGTCAGTGACTCTGCAGGCATTAAGGCCCACAACTTTTGTCTTTCTCATTCCCTAACTCAAACAGTCGATTTTCCAACTCGCTTTCTAGACAACCCAAATCATTTACCTTCTCTACTCGACTTATGTCTTGTTTCTGATCCTAGTCAGTGCTCACTTTCTTCACACTCACCCTTAGGTGCGTCTGATCATGGTTTGGTCTCTCTAAAACTATTATCTCATTCTTCTTTACCATCAGAATCCCCCTATCATCGTACATCTTACAACTACCTTAAAGCTTACTGGGACTCTTTCCTTGATTTTCTTTGTGATGGCCCCTGGGTAGAAATCTTTCGTCTCCCTGTTGACAAATGTACTTCATACATAACTTCGTGGATTCAGGCTGGCATGGAATCCTTTATTCCCTCTCGACGATTCCAGGTCAAGCCTCACTCATCTCCATGGTTTTCCTCACATTGTGCTGCTGCAATTGCCAATCGAAACCATTACTTCCATATCTATCAGCAAAACAAATTCTCCTGAAAACAGACGTCTGTTTATTACTGTTAGGAACCATTGTAAAAAGGTTTTGTCTAACGCCAAAGCCCGCTATTCTCAGATCATGAAATCTCGTATTTCATCACAAAAATTAGGCTCTCGTGACTTCTGGAGAATCTTTAATATTATCAATAATAAGGGCAAGTTTGTAATTCTACCTCTTTTGTATGGTTCAGACTTTGTCACCTCACCTAAAGACAAAGCTGAATTGTTTGCCAAGAACTTTTCATCAATATCATCTCTTGACTCCACTAGTTGCGCTCTATCTGATATAGCCATCAAACAGGTTGATCCATTGCTCGACATTCGTATCACTCCAGCTTCTGTATCTAAAGTGATTTCCCGCTTAGACTCTTCTACAGCTTGCGGCCCGGACAACATACCTGCAGAAGTGTTCTCCGGAGCTGTTGTCTATCCTTTCAAAACTATTTAACAAGTGCTTATCAGAGTCTTGTTTTCCAGCCTGCTGGAAAGCAGCATCTGTTATCCCTATTTTTAAAAATTCTGGAGAGCGATCAGATTCGTCTAACTACCGTCCCATTAGTCTTCTTCCTATCATAAGCAAGGTTTTTGAATCTTTAATTAACAAACACTTAATCTCTCATCTCGAATCTCATAACCTACTTTCTGATCATCAATATGGATTTCGATTTTCTCGTTCTACGGCTGATTTGCTATCAGTAATAACCAATAGGTTTTATTGCGCATTAGATAAAGGTGGAGAGGTTAAGGCCATTGCTCTTGACATTTCTAAAGCATTTGATAAAGTTTGGCATGCTGGTCTCCTCCATAAGCTTTCTTCTTACGGTGTATCTGGAAACATCTTAAAGATTATTGAATCCTTTCTTTCCAATCGTAGTATAAACGTTGTCCTTGATGGACAGCACTTTTCTTCTTATTCTGTAACCTCAGGGGTTCCCCAAGGTTCAATCCTTGGCCCTATACTCTTTTTAATTTACATTAATGATCTTCCAGATATTCTCACATCTAAGGTGGCATTGTTCGCTGATGATACTACCATTTATTCTTGTCACGATAAGAAGCCAACTCCCTCTGATTGCTTGCAGGGGGCATCTGAGCTCGAAAAGGATCTCACTTCTGCTACAGCATGGGGCTCACAGTGGCTGGTGAACTTTAATTCAGATAAAACTCAATTTTTTTCGGCCAATCGTTATCGCAATAGTTTAGACCTTCCTATATTTATGAATGGTAATGTACTCGATGAGTCTCCTACCCTTCATCTTCTAGGATTAACTCTTACTTCTGATCTTTCTTGGAAACTATATATCAAATCCGTTGCAAAATTAGCATCTGCTAAAGTTGCTTCTCTTTATCGAGCTCATCACTTTCTTACTCTGGATTCTATTCTCTATCTCTATAAATCTCAAATCTGGCCTTGTATGGAATACTGTTGCCATATCTGGGGCGAATCTTAAAATGATGCCCTTTCTCTTTTAGACAAGGTGCAAAAACGCATTGTAAACATAGTTGGACCTGCTCTTGCAGCCAACCTTCAACCTCTGTCACATTGTCGTAATGTTGCTTCTCTTTCTCTTTTCTACAAATACTATAATGGACACTGCTCGAAAAAACTAGCGTCTCTTGTGCCATTTACTTAAATTCATTCTCATGTTACTCGTCATTCAATTAAGTCTCATCCTTTTTCTGTTACTGTTCCTAAGTGCTCCAAAAACTCTTATTCGTCTAGTTTTTTTCCTCGAACATCAGTTATTTGGAATTCGCTTCCTTTATCTTGCTTTCCTGATTCATATAATTTGCAATCTTCTAAGTCGTCTGTCAATCTTGCTCTACAATCTTCATCTTCTCTTTTCCAGTAACTTCCAACACTAATTAGTGGTTGCTTGCAGCCTTTTTGGAAGCGAAGATAATTAATAAAAAAAAAAAAAAAATGCAAGCATATCATGAGAGACAGTTCAATAGAAATGTATGCAACAAACTGTTGAAGAATGTTAACATTCTTCAGAGTCTTGCCCAAGAGCATTGTGCATTGCAAGCAATTCCTTTTGTTGATTGCTTCAGAAAGCTTCAATCTGTTAAAAAAGCTTGTTTTGGAAAGATCTTATAGGCAGGATTCGTTCAAAATATTTCAGAACTTAAACATTCTTAATTAGCTCTTGGAATTTCAGTTGCTCCCAAAGCACATTTTAGTTTAAATTTTCAAAGCACATGCAATTATTCATCAAATTAAGGAATTTGCTGAAAAAATAAAACTGAGCTCGGAGTTTTCAGTGAGCTACTGAATCGATGCCAAATTCATGCTCATTAATGTTATAAAGTTTAATAGCTCATTAATATGGTTGAAATAATAAAGTTTTGTTTACTTTGTATTTTATAATGCAATATTCTCCATATTTTGAACTAATTAAGGAAATAAACCTTTGTCCCAAAGAAACACATTTTTTGTTGATTGAAGGATTTTAGTATGTTATTATGATTTTATGTCTCATACAGACTTAAAACAATCAAACTTATTATTTATTATTTTTATATCATTATTTACTTTATTTGTTAAAAGTATTACTTTCTCAGCAATTTTGTTGTGAAAGCAAAGATTATTTTCAAAATATCAAAGGAAAGAATGCTATCAAAGGAAAGAATACTTGAACTACTTAAGAATCCTTATTAAATAGTTAAAATAAAGAAATGACAAAAATTTAAGAGCATATTAAACAAAACGCAAAAATAAACTTTAATAAACCATACATTCTGAAACAAAAAAAACATTAAATTGAAAAATAATAAATGTGAAATATTTTTAACTTGACAAAAAAAACTTATATGTATACAAATTAAATTAAAATTGTAATTCGGAACTTTAATTATCCTTACCAATCGAATAAAGCCAAATCCTTTTTCTTTGTTAACATACACTTCACCAATTTCACCAAATGGTGAGAATAATTGACGAAGATCTGCTTCAGTAGTACTGTTGTGTAAGTTAGCTACAAAAAGACGACACCTGCCACTAAACTTTTTTTCCCCCTTTCCTTTGTATGCTGTTGAGCTAGATTCAATACTTTCTTTTTTTGTATCTGATACTTTAGGAGATGAAGTTACTGCAGAAGATAAATCGTTACTGGTTTGAGGATGTCTTACCACATCCAATTTTTGCATAGAACCAGTCTGACCAGCAGAATCAACTTCATCAACATTAGCATAACTATTAGACACCTTTTGTAAGGAAGAAGATAAGCCATTGTCTTCAACTTTAACTGTTCGCTCCATAGAATCATTTTCATTTTTTTTATATGTATCTCTCTTGTCATATCTAACAAAACATGTAAATAATAATTTTGTTTATAAAATTAGATAGTATTACTGATTGGTTATTTATATTTAAAAGAATCAAATAAGTGCTGAAACAATTTGTATTCATATTAAAGAGAATGTTTTTTAAAAAAAAAGAAATAATAAACACACACAAAAACAAACAAACTTAGTAACTGTAGTTTTTTTACAATGTTTACCTTCTCTATTATAGTCAGAATTTTAAGTCTTTAAAATAAATGTTTTTTTTTTTGTTTTTTTTGATGCAATCTACAGAATTCTTAATTTAGTTGTTATTTTTTAAAGAGTTTAATTAAAAAGAATGAGGTTATTATAGGATTTTTTTTCAATCAGCAAATCACTTTTATTTGTATCATTTTTCCCTAAATCTCAAAACATATTTGACAAAATTAAAAAAAAAATTAATGTAAAACAATTGAAATGATAAAACAATTGTCAGGATAATTGTATATATCTTTCATATATTTATAAGTTTATATTCAATTATGTATATGTTTTTTGTTTAAAAAAAATATATATACATGTCGGGGTCATTATTTAAATATATATATATATATATATTTAGGTTTAACAAAATTAAATTTAATGTTTGTGTTTAACTTCACTGTTAAATTTATTTAAAAATATACTAAATTTGTTTTAATTTTATTAAAATTTTATATATTCTTAAAAAAAAACAAAGCTCATTTTCATTGCAATTAATTTTTCAGTTTTTATTTTCAAACATTTTTTTTTTTACTAAAAATTAAATTTCTAGTAAACTTGTTCTGAGGCTGCATTTAAAATGTATGTGAAATTTTTTTTTATAAAGCAAATTAAAGTGCAGCAACTATTTTTTAATAAATGGTTAATACAGCAATATAATTTTCATAACTGTTGTTTGGAAAAATAATCTTTGCTTTCACAACAAAATTGCTGAGAAAGTAATACTTTTAACAAATAAAGTAAATAATGATATAAAAATAATAAATAAAAAATGTCATTTTTTTATTTCTTGGTAATTTTTTATAATAAGAAAGTATCTTTAGTAGTAAAGCCGCAATTAAAAAATTAAGAAATAATAATTTTAAAAAATTAAACATTTTAATTCATGTATACAAATGTTGAAAGAAGAAAGAAGTTTGTTTATATCAAACATTTTTTTAAATGTTTAAATATTAAATTTGATTATTTAATATAAAAAAAAAGTTGAAAGAAAATATTCCATAATAGCATTTCTAGATTTATTTAACATTAATATAACTTGTTTTTCAGTAATTATTAATATTGTAGTAGTTTTAAAAAGGAAAAAAAAAAAATGATTGAGATTTTTATGAGGTTTAAAACAATAAGCTAATGCATTATGTTTATTTTATTTAAAACAAAACTTTATAAAACAATTCTTCTGGGTTGTAAAAAAAAGGTCACCCAAAAATTCAATTTATGTTTCATCATTTATTTAATCTGGCTACTGTTACTACTAATAAATATGGCTTTCCTGCAAACCATTTAAAACCTAAATAGATTAGAAGTGTTGAGAACTTAAAAACATTTTGGAAAATAACAGAATATTTTAGAAGACTTTAGAACATTCTAGAACAATTTAAAACATTCTGGAACAATTTAGAATATTCTAGAACAATTTAAAATATTTTGGAACATTCTAGAACAATTTAGAACACTCTGAAATATTCTAGAACATTTTAGATTATTGATGACCTCCACAAGAATCTCAACAAACAAAGCTGCTAACATCCAGCATTTAAAATAACGGCCGGTCAATGACCGCCCAAAATGAGTAAAATTGCTATTTTGACCTCCCAAAATGAATTCTTGCCGGTCATGGTTGATCGGTTAAGAGTTTTGAAAAACAAGATTTGAAAAATAATCAGATTATGATTTGGAAAAAGCATGCAAGCAAGCAAGCATGTACTAAATTATCAAACAATCATAAAATTTTTGAAAAAGTGCTTAAATTGGGCTTATTGTTTACAATAAGTTCTTAAATTCCTTTTGATAACGAATATAACATAAGACGTGACATCTTATAATTCTTTTCTTTACTTATTTCTTCACTAATTTTATTGGTGGTGAAAATCATTTTTCATAAATGATTGAAGTTCTTATTATACTTTATTAATTTAATAAAGTATATAATAATAATTGTATGTAATATATTATTTTAATAATAATAATATAATCTGATAATATGAATACGCTAATTTAATATTATTATTATTAGTCGAGTTACGTCATTTTCTAGGCTTCTCTATTTTAAAGTAGTTTCTAGGCTTTTCTATACGCGTTTTTTTTTTTTTAATTTTATTTACTAACAACGCGTATTACGGGTTGCTTACTGCTAGTAATATATAATAATTGCATTTATCTCAAAAAAATTTGTCTTAACTTTTTATTTGTTTACTCAAGTTTTTGCAGCAAACTGAATGAATGAGGAGCTTGAAATTTTAAACTATGCAGTAGAGTGTTGGGATCAAAAAGGAACTCAATAGATCAAGGAATTAATTTCAATGTTAATTTTGAGTACAAAATCTTAGTGCGAATTAATAAAATTATTATTCACTAATTTTATTAACTCTATTTAAATTAACTTTAGCAGTTTTTAAAACGCTTTTAATGTGCAAAATGTGCAATCTTTTTTTTTTTTTTTAACGTCGTTAACTTTAAATATTTAAGTTCTTAATTATTTATTATATGAAACTGTGGTATGTAATTAAGAACATTTTCACTTCTAAAGTAATTTTTTTTTTCATTCAATCTTTTCATTTATTTTCTCGTAGCTTTTCCTGCTATTAGTTACGAATGAATTGTTTTTAAATAAATTTAAAATTATCGTTATGCGTTAGCACTTTTTTATTTCTATTATTGAGTTTTAAAAGAATTATCAAACATCAACCTATTAAAATGGAGTTTCATTTTCATAGTAGAAATTTACTGCTAACGACAGCTCAAAAATGAATAAGTACTACTCTTGCAAAATATAATGCGAATGAATGGTTAGAGATTAATTAGAAATATTTAGAGTTAGAAAATAATGGAAATTATGTTACAGCATTAAAATGTACTGTATGTCGTCAGTATGCTAAACAAATTGATACTTATAAAGGACTTATGCCGGAATGGGGAAGCAACGAAAGTAGTTGTCGAGTACAGCACAGTGGCGCAGTTGATCATGCAAATGGATTGCCACAACAAAGAGCATATGAATTAGCAATGAAAAGTAAAGGGTTGGATGTGAGCGAACGTATAGATAAATTAAGCAACCTGCAAAAAGAAATGCGGCAAACTGACATTTTATCAGGCCTAAAAACGATGAACAAGAAGGATTCAAACTTAACCAGGAAAAAATTTGAGGCAGCATACTTTATTGCTAAAGAAGAGCTTCCGCTTAGCGTATAACCAAAAATACTACGTTTAGAAGAAAATCACGGTGTAGAATTCGGCCAAGCATATAGAAATCAAATAACTTGTGGAACTTTTATTGACTACATTTGATTAAGTTAGTCAAACAGTCTCAGAAACAAATTAAAAACACAAAATTATTTCAGTATTTTAATTGATGCATCAATCGATGTTTCTGTGATTGAAAAAGAAGTTATATTTATATCAGCTTTAATCCAACTCCTATAGGAAAGACTGAGATATGCGTTGAATGTTCTTTTCTTTCTCTTTCTAATCTTGAATATGGAACATCTGAAGGAGTTTTCAATATAATTAGTCAATCCTTTGAAACAGAAGGCATCGAAAATTATAAAAATAAATTAGTTGGTTTTGGCGTTGATGGCGCAGCTGTAAATAGAGGAAATAGGACAAGTATAAATGTATTACTTCAGACAAAAATTCCATGGTTAACTTTTGGTTGGTGTGTTGCACATTGCCTAGAGTTAGCATTAAAAGATAAATTTGCAAAATTAAAGCATTTAATGAAGTTGATAACATCATTTTGAAAATGTATAACATTTATAAAAAATCACCAAAAAAGTTAAGGCAGTTAGGAGAGCTTGTTGCTATCATTGAAGAGGGTAACTCATTTGACCTTGCAGGTATTCGCCCCAAAAAAGCATCAAGTATATTTAAGTTTTTTTAAATATTATTATTTTAAATATTTTTTTTAAATATACATTTTTTTTTTATACAACAAAACCTTTTTACTACAATAGGGTATTAAGCAATAAAAAAATTGTATGCAGTAAAATATATTATGCAAGGAAAATTTTAATAAAACTATAAATAATTTTTGCAATAATAAATAGAAACACGCTGGATTTCACATAAAATTCAAGCTCTTGAGATGATTTTAGACAAATATGGAGTTAATATGAAACATCTCGAAAAAATGTCTGCAGATTTAAGTTTTACACAAGCAGAAAGAGCAAAGTTTAAAGGGTACCATCAGAAGAATACCTTTTTATATAGCATTATTTATAGAAATTTTATCACCAGCTAAGCTGTTGTCGTTATCTTTTCAAAGCAACGAAATTGATTTAGTAGCACCTTTTGGATTTGTTAAACAAGCTAAAAAACAGTTAGGTCACTTACAAAAAAAGGATTTTAATGATTTACCGACTGTCAAACGCTTCCTTGCAAAAGTAACAAACAGCAATGGAAAATATTTATTCCAGGAAGTTGTGCTTAATGATTTTAAAAACGCACTAACTTTAGTTTAGAATTCGAAATCCATAGAAGATCCATAGAAGAGCGTTTAGAGGCTCAAAATACAGTTCCTGATATGTATGGAATGTTAATTCTAAACACTGCTGGTTGGTTACAAAATAACACCAATAATTCATTTGCTGATGATAACATCGAAAAATTGTATGACTTTTATAGTATACCATTATGTTATGCTGGCTTCACTGGGACTGTAAACAATATTTTGGATGCTTGGTATAGCTTAGTTGATTATACTGTCAAATATTTAGCAACAGTTAAAACTGAGTATCGTAAAGTATGGTATCAAATTTTTTCGAGTTCCTTTAAAAA